CACACACACACACACACACGCACACACACACACACACACACACACACAGGGAGCTCGTCTTGTTGCTTTGGAGTCCGTGACATGGTTTAACAGTCTCACAGGATCCATAAAACACCCCCGAAGGCTTCATATAATCTCTCCTTTTTTCCTGCTTAATAGGAGATAATACAAGTGCGCGCCCCGATGAATCAATATGCAACAGCAGCTTTAGTTTGATAATTAATACCAGTGTCTGAAATAGATTTGTGATTTGGCAGGGCAGGTCTGATATGACTCTGGTCGCCCCTCTCTCCCTCTGAACAGCCACAGTCCCCGTTCCACTCTGTATCCACATCCCATTGAGCTAATCTCATTCTTTTTTTTTTTTTCTCAATAGCGCTAATTCTTTTACTAAAGCCTGTTATCTCATTAAAGGCCCCGCGATGGGATTCGATGGCATCCTGACATCTGTATTCATTCCCCTCGAAATTAGTCCCGACACAAATTTAATGAAAAAGCACTCAGAACAGTGGAGATTAGACATCATGCCAAGTGTCACAGAAGGGAGGAGGGCAAAGAAAATCATCTATTTAGTTGTGGTACATTTTTGGAAGGGTGGATTAGCACCGTCGACTGCTGGAGTCTGTTGGTCTACTTCGTACTCGCTTGTTTTGACTCTTTTACACTCAATCCATAAGTCGGATTGAGATATTGAGGAGTGCACCAACTCTCCCGGTGGTATTTTAAGAGTGACTGTAACACTCAATATCAAACGCTCTTCAGGTAGAGGAAATGGTGAGGCGAGACAAAGAGGAGCACCCCTGGCCCTGTGTAGATAAACCCAGAACCCCGACAAACTGAGGATGCACGGGAAGTGGATTCCCCTCTCCGATCGAACCACCTAACTTCCCACCCAGCCCCTCGCCTCCTCTTCATCTCCCGCTCCTCCCTCATTTCTTCTCCCTCCCCTCCTCCGCCATCACCCTCGTCAAAAGCCTGTGTCGGTAGCGGTGCTGATAATTCCCTCTGTTTGAGAAAAAAAAAAAAAGAGATGAAAGCATCCATGGATGAAAGAAACTTGGATTTAATCTCTCTCGTCGTCTTTCGCTCTCTCTTCCAGTACACGGTGTTGATGGCGAGGAATGAGGAAGATGGGAATGAGGGGAGGAAATAGAAACAGTTGTAAAGCCCATTTGGAGCCACGAGGCGCAGCAGGTGAGGGAAGGTTGTGGACTAGTTCAATAGAAGCAGTTTACGCTTCCGAATGTACACGCATTGACCTGATGAAATAGTGGCCCGGAGAGGAGAGCGGCCAAAGATAGAGAAAGCCATCGTTTGCTCCTGTGCCTCATGTTGCCCCGGCCCCGATAAGGCCGTCAGCTCTCAGGTATCTGAGTCACAAGGTGAGAAGCCTGTCATAAAGATAGAGAGACTACAGAACTAAGAGCAGACAGGAGGAGATGCAGGCTGTAAGAGGGATATTCACTCATATGAATGAATTCAATCCACCTGATGTTATTTGCCAGAAAAGGTCTGAGCTTCGATCAAAGATCCAGTGAGAATGTTTTAGTAAAAAAATACAGCCATCTCATGCAATTAGATCAGAAGCTGGGGCAATAAAGACCTTTGCCATGTCTTTGCTAGCTGCTGGAATAATGACCCAATGACCAGAGAACCTGAGTCAACACATAGACCTAACTGCAGGCTCTGTCATGATGAGGCATCCACATTTCCCTTGATGATTCAGTTTCTTCTTTTCGTTTCAACACAGAAGGAACATTTTAAAATGTGGTTTATCAAACTCACATTTGCATTTTATTGAACTTATTATGACAATCATTCTAGGAATCCTGCATGACTGAAATTGTTTTAGGTAAAAAGGTGCTAAATTGCTAAATTCAGAGTAAATCACTGGTTTCCACGATGCTCTCCACATCATGACAGCTCAGGGCGGTAGGCGGTAGGTGATCGCTACGCTTCTGCGACGCCAACACCGGTCAGGGCGGCATTATCAGCTGTAACCTTTTATGCTGCGATTATCAATAAGGCCGGTATCTCAGGGATACCGGCCTCTTGGGAGGGCCGACTGACGTTTCCTCACTTTGCGTGCTTACACCCTAGAACAGCAGCCAAGGTCACAGGAAGACTTTGTGATTCTACTGCTAAACAGTTTTCAAACCCTCACTGTGAGCGTCAGGGAGCACGGGGCCGGGCCGCAGACCTCATTACCCACCACTGACTGGTCTGAATAGATGAGATGGAAGGTGGGAAAAGGCAAAGACAGACATGAAGAGAAGAGGGGAAGGTAAGAGAGGAGGATCTGTCAGCACAGACTCAAAATGATTTTAATTACAGGAAAGATGAAGTGAAGAATAAATGGAGGAAGAGGAGCTCTTATTCTTTGACCCTACACCCTGAGATCACACTCTATCATAATAGAATTCATTACAGATCTTTCTTCTTTTCCATAATTGCTCATTTAGATATTGACCTGCAGTTATTTGAAATGTAACTTCCAGTCTTCCTAAATTCAGTTTCTGATGTTGCTTTTGTAATCGCATCTTTTGCGGCCACACAGAACGACACATCTCAGCCCGGCTGCTCGTCTTCTTAGACTTTTTGTGTTGAGTTGTAGCAAAAGCGCATTGTCGGCCCGAGGACACCAGCATCCTTTCCAGGAGGGGTGCGAGGAGGTGCGGGGGTGTTGGATCGTATAGCCACAGGCCCACTCTGCCAGCCGGGGCAAGGAGAGCCCATATGGCAGCCAAGCGTGGCTCCGGCCAGCTCGGGCTCATATGTATGGAAAACAAGGTCTGGAGAGGGAAGTCACAGGGGGTCGTGCTAGTCAGAGAGGCAGCCTGCGGTCCTGGTGTAGGTTAGAAGGTCTTGGTTCAGGAGAAGAGGCTAATTTCTTCTACTTGGCTGAGCAAAGGCCTGAATAATTGCGCCCCCTGGGTTGGCCTCTGGGTAATGTGGAGGTAGAGCAGAGTGTACCAATGTGGAGAGCGAACATGGGGGAGGTTCAGGGAAGGGAATCACAGAAAACGTTGTGTCCGGCTTTCAATGGCTGCTCATTAAATCTGCTTTCATGGTACCAAAGTAAAAACACCGTCACACACCATTACACCATACAGTGTGCTTGGATCAGTGACAAATGCTAAAATGTGCCAATGATATGCTGAGCCTGTCTTATTAGAGTTACATGCAGGCATAGCAAAGCATGTAGCATCGCTCAGAGCACAGAAGATGCAACCCATACATGTTCAGATCTCCAGAATCACTCTGCAGGTGAACAATCTTCAGTGGCAAAAAAATGAATGATTGTTTGAGCTTTGTGATTTGGGGAAAGTGCGTCACATTTCTTTCTGTTTTGTACGTGATATAGTTATGTTTTTGTGCCACTTCGGGGACCTACAACAAGCTGAAACATGGCTCGTTTGCACTTCACTTGACTTTAAAGAGAATCCTATGAAGGGGGTCTTGAATAAGTAAATCCATCAGTAAGAGGTCTGGATGGTTCTTTATTATATGCTTTTTAAACCAAACCACCAGTAAACTACCTGCTAACAGCAGCTTAGAGCAGCCTGTGAAATGCACTGTTGCTCTTGTGCTTTTGGAATACAAAACAAACTCTTTAAATGCAGAGTATCGCTCTAACAGCCTGACGATTCACAAGTACTAAATTAAACTTTATGGTAAAATGGCTTTAAAAAGCAAGAATGAGATGGGCTGTCTCGAGTTGCTTCTTCTGATGTCTTTGTTGCCCCCGTAGTAATTGCCGTGGACACTTCTATCTACTGAGGACAAAGACCCAGTGTGATGATGTGATGTAAAGGACAAACTAGTTGAGTGTGTGTGAGTCCAAGGCTGACAGCTACAACAGCACCACATCCACTCCTGGACCACTAGTAATGAATCTGCCACGATCCTGCGTTCAGAGAGTGAAACCGAGCCATTTGACTGGATCTCCATGGTGTTCATTCGAAAAGAAAGATCGCCCTGTTGGGGCAGAGGAGGTGGCGGTTGTTTAAAGGCGGCGAGAGGCTCAGGAGAGTGAATGTGACATGCTCCGGTGTAATTATACTCACCTAGTTCACAGCAGAGATTAAGAGGAGGAAGGATGGAGAGGCACAGGAGTGTCAGACATGACCGAATATTGAAAGTCTCGCTGATGAGCAGTGTCAACTCTTTCTCCCTGTCCTCCCCCACTCTCCCTGCTCTTCCTCTTCCTTTTGTCACTGTAACATGTCACATTCTCACTTCTGTTTGCCTTTTCCAATTATCAAGGTGTGATAACCCCTCCTCCCCCTAATATGTTACTGAACTTGAAGAGGAAAAAAAAAAATCTTTTCGCTTGTCAGGAAAGTTAGATGATTTAATTATCACTTACAAATTCCTCTCCTGGTTCTTTCCTCTGCAGGCTTTATGTGATGCGAACCCACCAACTTTGCGTTCTGCGGTAATGTTGTTGGACCTCGTCGTCAGGACTTCGAGTGATTTAATGAGGCTGCACAACGTTATCCTGAGACAACGCTGTCCTCTAGTGGCGGCCGTGTGTCGCACACACACTGCGAGGCGTCTCTTCCGTCACAAAATGAATTATGACAGTCTAATTTATTATTATCTCCATCCCTCTCTGACCCAAGATATCACAGCTTCAACCTGATGTCCTGATGACGGGCAGGCTCGGTCACACTCAATCTACTCCATCCTCCAGCGTACACCGGGCAGGCCTCTGCCCTCCACTTTTGTCAAAATTGATTTATCAATTATAATAAAAGCAGAGTGAGAGTTTTGGAGTATTAATCACATTTGGATCTGTTTAATAGACTAGAATAATCATTTAGAAAAAGCCCAACTTCAAATTAAGGATTCCAATTATCCCCACTGATGCAAGACTTGAGTGACCACCTGTCAATCATTCCGTTGATGCCGATCTACCGGGTCTTTGTGCTTTAAATATCAACATCCTTATTCGCAAAAGAGAGAGAGCGGGAGAGAGTTCCTGTACTTCAGTTGCTTTATGTCAGCAAGACAGTTGTACATTACAATATTTTCACAGATAATCGTCAGATGCTGGAAGTTCAGGAATTCTGTCTTTTTTATCGAGCTGTATGCCCTGAATGCTGCGGCCGACCAGGAGGAAGAGCAGCCCGGCCAGCAGAGAGAAGAAGACAGCGACCGGAGCCAGCAGGAAGGAAGGGCCGTGCTGGACGCTGAGGTGGAACGAGGGGCAAGTGGAGACTCTGTGATGGAGGGCAAACTGCTCCAGAGTGTCCAGGACATGGACCCACATCAGATACATCACCAGCACTGCCAGCAGACTCAGACCTGACAGGCACAGAGTTTTAAAGGTTTAAGTTCTCTTCTTCAGGGTTCAGCCCTGGGAGCATACGACACTTGACCCTGGAGTCATTTCGTGTAAATAAAAAGACTCCAGGGCTTATTTTGTAATATCCCTTACAGATAATATGTTGACTCACAAATGTTCTCTCTGTGAGAACATCAAGAAAGTCATCTGAGATCCTGAGTGAAAGAACAGCTCAGGGGAGGAAGGAGGTCATGCCAAGAGCGTCAACAAAGACACTAAAAGACACTTTGTCACACACACACACACACACACACACACACACACACACACACACACACACACACACACACACAAAATATTTGAAATATATATATTTGAAAAAAGCAACATAATTAGATGGGAAAACATAAAAAAACAAGGATTCCCAATTAACTTTTAACGGCATAATTAGAAACCATATTTGTTCATTTAAGATGTCCCTTGCTCTTCTCTGAAATAAAAAATATCTTGTGTTTGTGTTTGTAATATCTTACACCTCATTGACACGCAACAAAACATCGTTCAATGCAACACAACGTATTTTTAAACTCTCGTGAAGATCCCAAAATTAAAAAAGATTCCAAATGAGGTGAATTTTAGGAAAATGTGCAGAAAAAGATGCTCAAGAGTGAATCTGAATCTGTCATAAAACAGAGTATGAATTTGAGTTTGGATATTTCATGCAGTGTACTAATATAGCTTCAGTGAGGAGTTGCAAACAAGCTCATGAAAAATATGATGCTGTCATACAGTATGGAACAACATGACATATAAGTGGGAAACTGGGTGTTAAAGGGTTAAACTTTAGTTTTATTAATTTGAATAAACAAATATTTTTGGGTTAAGAGAGTCAGATGGAAATCTGAAGTGTTGGCTGGAAGATGATTCACAGAGCCCTGAGGCAAGTGTTCCAGAGTTGGACTCCTCGTTTCCATTATGACTACACGCATAAGTTATTGTAATATTTGCGGACTGTACACAAGTGACCACAAACGCTGGCAACGTCTTCAGGTCACATCTCTTCTCTGACCTATTGATTTTCTTAAACCAAGACACATGAAGAGCAAGAACATGTGGTGCATTGACCAGCAGCTGCTCCCAGAGAGGAGCCGCTTCGCTGCAGGTCTGCAGAAGATATTCTTCAGTTTGCTGTTATGACTGTCTTTATGACGGGGCTCTGCTCATGTTTGTCATGGCCACTTATACAAGTACATGAATAAAGTAATACACCTCTGTCCTCTTTAGGCGAAGGGACGATATGAAAATTTCATGTCTCCATTATTCCGGCCAAAATTTTTGCGTTCACGATATTTTCCTGACAATCATCAAAATATGTTTAAAACTCTTTAAAAATACTGGAATCCCTCTACGTTATGTTTTATATGTTTATGGCATTCACTGGTAGGACACATCGGTTTTGATCCATTTTACTGAAAAAACTAAATAAGGTAATAAATCAAAAGGTCCCCCTGCATATATCCTGCATAGATAAAGGGTTAATACATTTAAAAAAGATGTCTAACATGATGATTCCTGTATTTATTTAATTCTTTATTTTTCCCTCCTCTACCATGAAAGCAGGCTAGACAGCTCCTTTACGTCACTATTATCCCGATAATGGAGATTCCTAACGATCAACTTATTATGAGTGGTTTTTATTGCGATGCCTCCCCACCTCTGCTGCTGTCACATAATGGAATTAAATGTTTCCATAACATGTCATTTGTCATCTTAAACTTTCATTATATCCACAGTTGTTTTTCAAAAAGAAAGTTCAGATATTCCCTGAACATGAAGCGCTCTCCTCTCAGACACACCTGTGCTCGAGTAAACTGACTCCTCAGCTGTAGGCGATGACCCCTAACGAGGGGATTCAGCCCAACAGCAGACTGTCAGAATGAGAACCTGCCGAGCCTCATCGAAGATAAGTCATACGTTTAAACTGATGGCGTTATCATTTCTTGTTCTAAAAGCTTTTTGAGGATAATGTGAGTGAGATCTGTTTGTGTTAAGGCCAGAAAATCACTTTTTTGTAGCTGATTTGTCCTTACCGCCACAAAGCAGAAGGGCCCCCCCCACTTCATAGAGTCTGTGATTGGTCAGCGGGCCGGCACAGATGACAACAAATCCACCAATGAGGACCGCCGCCACGCCTGTGACGAGGAAGATGCTCCAGAAGGTCCTAAAAACTGAGAGAATATGAGGCCTTGTAAATGATGGGAGACCATAACGTCAAAAATAAATCAATTCCTGAAAATAATACCGACCAATGGCAGAGTGATGTTCATACGGCTCTGTGGGGGAACTGTGTGGCTCCACCAGAGATCGCTGTGGCCCACGAGCAGGAAACGGGAAGAGGAAGGCGGCTCGGCAGACCTTTGATGCTGGCTGATTAGCTGAAAGAAAGACGCTGTTGTGATGCTGCTGTTTGGCAAATTTGTATTCATAAATGCATCATGTTAGTCTCAGGTTCTTACAGATCCAAAGGTCCCACATAGAGTGTTGATCTGAGACAGCCATGAAAGAGCACCGCCAGAACAGGCCCTCATGGAAGACCCTCACACCGTCTGTATCCTGGAGGATCACAACACCAAACATGACCTTTTCTCTCTGACAGTCTGTCTCTTTTGTGATAGATATGAAGATTACGTCACTGTAGTTCAGTCTGGAGTCACTCAGCTACAGCATTTAAATAAAGCCAGACTCATCAGGTGTCAGAGTGTCCACAGTCTGAAGCAGACTCGTGTGTCCGCCAGCAGTCTGTAAATGGAGTGTTTGACTGACAAAACCAGTGGGTGCAGTCTGTCATCTTCTATATGTGATGTGGAGAACTGTTTGTTATGCTACATAGGAAATAATAACATGCATGTAATAAGCAGATCAGCCTCTTTCACTCTACTGTTCTACACTTCATTGCCTGATTGTTTTAGTTGGTGTGATGCATTTGTTTCACTCATGAAAGGATCTATACAAGTAAAGTTGAGGTGTTCAGTTGAAATACCTCGGTGCCGCTCTTCCCCTCTCTCGGGACACTTCCTCCAGAGCTGCAGGACTCAGCAGCCAGCAGCCAGTACTCGGTCCCACAGGACACAAGTGTGAGCAGGAATCCTGCTGCTCCAAAGAAGGAAGCCAGGAAGAGGAGCAGCTTCAGCCTCTCTGCAGGAGACATGTCTCAGTCCGTCGCGCTCTTTCCCGGTTTTATAAACCGGCACTTTTCTTTTGACATTTCTCACTCCGGCATTGCTTTCTACAGCATTTCATGTTCAAATTCATAGAATAAACTCTTTCACTAAATGGCTGCTAAATCCATCCGTCCATTACTCTTCTGCTGCCAGAAACCAGTGAGCACCACGACAAACAGGCCTCTGGACGCTGCCTCCCCCCCACGCTGACATGAAGGGGCTGGATGGAAATAGACTCTTGCATCATGAGTTGGTCAGTGTGGCGGGATACAGTTACAGTGGGGGGGTTACCCTCACACACATATAGCTGTGTTATGATGAGAATAGATGCAACCCAAATAGAACCATGTAGTTCTTAACAGAACAGCTTGAAAAACACAAATCACAACTGTAGAAATATCTCCTTGGCATTTATTGGAATGCCAGCATTGAAATACAGTACAAGGCTTCCAGTAGAACTGAGATCAGGCAACAGTGATGGTCCAACAACAGTCAGTTAAACTGCAAGTTCATATATTAATACCACTTCTCTTTGTCAAGACAGGTGGGTCAAGAGATGATTAATACAAATAAAAAAGGTCAAAGGGAAGCCGTTAGCATCCGTCACACTGCTGAGAGAGAAGAAGACTTCAGTGAAACCTGGCGGGAACTATTTGAACAGATCAATATGTTTTAAATGCCTGACTGCTTTTAATCATCCAAATTCAAATAAATACTTCTTCCAGGTGATGAGGGACATGTTCAAAGAAAAGAGACAAAACAAGAAGAGAATATCAGGAACGGTCAGATTGCCTGGTGATTGATTTTCTTGTTTTTCACCTGTTTGATGATCAAAAAGGTGTTTTATTCACTGATAACGCATGTCCTGCCTCTTCAAACAGCATATAACACATAGCAAGAACCCAACCCATATACACAGAGACTCATGTTGATTAATTACATATTACAACCCTGTGAGGATATTAGAAGTACATATACGAGGCACCCAGAAATTAAAGATTTATCACCTATTATTAACCTACTTGCAGTAAACGTTTTATTTGAGGATCCTTTGGGCTGAGTCACCTCTTTCCTCAAATTTGCGAGGATATTGCCGCTATTTTGGCAGTTTGTTTGGTCCACTGTCGCTTTATCCCAACGAACAGGTCTGTCGGAGCATCCGTGCAAAGGCTCATGGGACTTCCACAGCATGTGAGGTCTTGCGGCGCTTCTTCCCGTTTTCCTCGGCCTCCGCTGAACGCTCCGACGCCTAAGACATGACTCCGAACACGGGGTTGTGGCGGCAGATGCTCGGCCCGATCTCCTCGTAGTCTTTCTTGGTGTGGCACACTTGGTAAAACTCCGGCTGCCGGAACACAAACGATCCCGTTAGTGTCATTTCCCTTTACACGTCATAGATAAAGACAGTGTGTGTGTATGTGTGCTGCGTTAAGTCAACAAAAACAGTTTACCAGAATCTGGTGCATTAGGAAAAACTTTAGCTTCTTGCGGTTTAAAACTCTCATCAAAGGAACATTCACTAGATTCTATTTCCAATGATTTCTTGATGTCAAAGATGTATATTAAGCTGCAGGAGGGAGGGTTGTGTGTTCTGATACTCACAGTAGACGCCAGCATTGATCCTCCGAACCAGACGGCGTACCTCTGCATGTGGTGAGTGATGACTTGCACGTCGATGGGCTTCGGCTGCAAAAAGAAAAGAGGATAACTCCGTCAATACAGAGACAATGAACACCACTTCCTGTCAACCTTCATGAAGAAGAGAAGTTGATTTTGTATCATTCAAGTGCCTTTTTGTTTTGGACTTCTTGTATTTTGGTACAGACCAACTATGCTCTACATTTAGAGACTAAATACTAACCGTGTTTATAAGAGGGTGAAACACATTTACACACTTTGGATTTAATTCACTAATCTTCATCCTCACCTTTAACTTGCCGCCGCTCAGCTCTTCGCTCATTTTCAGCCGTGCGTCCACGGTCCTCTTGAGGTCCCTCTGCATGCGTCTGCCAAAGTCCCTGAACATGGTGGAGCCTCCGGAGAGCACGATGTTCTGAGACACAAAGAGGCGGTGCACGTTGAGTACAAGCAGACACACATACACACACACTAACGGTTACAGCGCCTGCAGCGGCTACAGAGGCCCGTGTTCCTCTACCTTGTAGAGCGGACGCCTGACGTCGATAGGGCAGTTCTGGATGACTTCGTCCACCACCTCTGAGATGGGCTGGGTGAAGTCCGGGTTGGCAAACTGGACGAGACCAAAGAGCAAACAGGTAACTCAAAAATCTGATGATAGTGTTCAATCAAGAGAATAAAAACAACATTTTTCACTGTGACAAGCTGACTAAATCATCCAGCAGCAGCAGCACTATATGTATAACTATTCACCTCAGGGTGGAAGAAGATCTCAGGCCCCAGGAAGCGCTCGTAGCCAACATCGATGGTGAACTCCTTCTTGGAGACGGAGTTGATGCCCGTGTACTGTTTGATCCACTTGGAGCCGTCTGTGTCGTACTTGCTGAACTCCTTCACCAGGTCAGGGCAGACATAGCTATACCGCTCCTTAAAGAGGAAAACAATGCAGAGAGACTTTTAGCAAGACAACAAAACCAAATGTATTATAAAACATCTTTCTATTTCAAAGTTGCAGTGAGTGCTGCTGACCTCTAGTGGTCAGGCTGAGCATAACAACCACCAAATCCTGTCAGGTTTGTTGAATATTATACGTTTCTAAAGACATCCCACCACTGACCTTGACAGCTTTAGCAGTCTCCAGGGACTGCTCCGGAGGTATCCCCACCTCTCGCTCCCTCAGCAGCTGTTGGGTGAAGTAGGTGATGTCTCGACCAGCGATGGGGATGTGCTTAATGCAGCTACCGATGACGTAGCCTTCAGCCTGCAACGCACACACGCACCACTTTAGGACTGACAACTCAGGAGCAGCAAAAAGGCAACCCTGAAGAAGTGACACTCACCACCGGGATGACGTGAGTGACTCCGTCTCCGCTGTCGATCACGGTGCCCGTCAGCGTCCGCTCGCCCACCTGTCTGGATGTCCAGGAGGCAGCCAGCGCCAGGACAGCCTGAAGCAGAACATACAACTAAATCACACTAGGTCACGAAAAACAACCATCACAAATACTGAATGACGACACTGCAGGATTTACACAGAGTGAAACATTTAAAAACAGAACGGTAAACATAGAAAGAAGAAGTGAGAATGATCATTTCCCCATTGCACCTCTGAATCACATTACATTCAGAGTATAAGAGATATTTCCAGCTTACAAGTCTGGTTCCAAACATGCCCTACAAGGCTTTTCTACTTGGGTTTGTCTGGAAGACTTTAGAGGAAATAAAGACTGGTTGGCTGGTGTGAATTTCAGGTGCCGGAATGTTTTGGAAACGTACCTGAACAGCAATGTAGAGACCCGGCACATTGAACGACTCAAACATGATCTCTGCGGTGTACTCTCGGTTTTCTGGTGTGTTGAGAGGAGGCTCTGTCTGGAGAGACACACGCAGAAAGTCATTAAATGCAACTAAATTCAATTGGAAGACCTTATTTCCTGTTTTGAAATTGCAGGAAATAAGACGCATTTCTTCAGATCCTGATCTGCATAGGAGGCTGTAACTCTTAACAATGGACACAGATCTGGTCTTACCAAAAGAAAGTAATGGTCTTCAGGTTCTGCCCGCAGATACTTGAAGATGATCTGCTCCATAAATCTCTCCATCAAGTCCCAGTCCTCCACTATCCCGTGACGGATGGGCCACTGGAAATCAAGAAGGAAACTCTCAGTATCTCAAATCAAAGTGCTTCACAGGAAGCACTTCTTTGTGAAAGGTTTCTGTCTACCTTTGTTGCATACGATGGTTTGTCTATGGCTTCATCCCCGATGAAGAAATCCAGGTCATCAACACCCTTCATCATCCGGCGCTGGGCCTGGTCTCCCACCTTGGCTGATTCTTTGATTGCGATACCTGGAGGTGAGAAGACACTACGTGATAAAACAGCTTGGCACTGTGGTTTGTAGCAGGAATAAATAGTGCATTAGGACTATTTCCAGCTGTGAACTGATATACAGTATATTGTGTCCAAGTGAGTATTTACAGTCAAAGTCACAATACACAACTCAGAAATGACTTCTTACTAAAAAGTATAGCCCTTGAATTCTCATAACAAAACAAAGCTTTCCTCCTCTTTAGGGAAACCATTAAACACTATTGTATGTATCGTAAAGGCGACGTAGCTGAACGTAGCCATGATTTTCACAATAATTGTGTTTAAATGGCACGTTGTCTTCCTGGTTTCTGTCTCACGGAACTGTAAAAAAGGAAGTCGACCTGAAACTGCCATCTTGTTGCAGATCATAAAGGTAGATTCCTCTTTCAATAATTACTTTGTTACTGAATTTAGAAATAAAAAAATACAGTTAACAATATAAAATAATATCTAAATATGATTTCATTGACTAACTGTATGGAAATATTTGAATAGTTGTATTACACATTCATGTAAATTAAGTTAAGCTCCAGATAAAACTTAATTAAAGCTTAAATTAAAACCAAATTGGTGTTTTGGGCATTTTTTCCATTCACTTACATGAAGGTATGATGAACTGTGGTTCTGTATTTCCTGCATAACCAAGCTTTGTGTACCTACAAGGGAACAAACAGAGAATAAAGGTTGAGTTACAGTTGCATCCTTATGGATGAAGAAACTATAGACAGGTACGTAATTGAGTAACACCCAAAATAATCTGGATAATATTCATTCTGCTGTGAGGATTGTCCAGGAAGTAACATTAGCCTCGGTAGCTAGCAGCAGCTAATTGCAACAATAAAACAGCATTGAGAAATAAAGCATACAAAACAAAGCAGTCGGTCACGTTAGCGTGCTAATATGCAGCGTTGAGTCTGCTTTTAAAGACGACATAAGAATAAACACACAAACAGATGTGGCTAAGTATCGTTGGCATCTTTCAGGCTAATCAGCTAGACGGGGCGTTAGCTGGAAGTTTGACAGCCAGGCTAACGCTAACTAGCCTTGTATTGTTGTCACTTACCCCGTGCCACAGTCAACAACACAAGCCGGTAGCCGACCAGCCATGCTTGCTCTCCTTTAATCTATCGACAAGCAAATATATCAGGCGCCCGATATGAACGGATATCTTTAACAGTAACTGATTTCAATCGCAGCAGCCTGAATGAACAGCAGACACGGCCGAGACTCACTAACACTTCCGGGTTTGGTGAAATTTCTTCTAGTGCAGTCAGCAGCTTCAAAGGTACAACACTGACCTCTAGTGGACGGAGACTGATAGTGCAGCCAAATGTTGATTTAAATGTTTTTTTGGAGGGTTTTTTTCAGATTAAATGTAAGAAATATGACATATGAGAAAATATATATTTGTTAAATAAGGGCTGGACATTTTTTTAGCATGTCCTACATTTACCATGTGTTCTTGTTTTTTCAGGAACACAGACTGAAAAGTTATATTTATTCTGTGCAATCAAATGCAGGGTGGCATACTTTTAAAGATGTGCTAAAACTACATGCTAACATAAGAAATATTAAGCATAAAAGAATCAGATAAGAGAAAGAAATACGTAATATAAGTATTACAATGCTTAAAATAGTATATACATACTCAGACTATTGCATGACACAAAAAATAACATGAATAAAGTTAAGTTTATAATGTTAAAAGCAATGTTGCAAGCAGGTCTGTTCTTTTTTTTCTGTATTTTTACTGTGATTTTCCATTGAAGAAAAAATAGTAACCAACCTCATCTCGCCCTGCTGACTCCATCAGATAATATCAGTGATTTAGGTCCCATCAAAGGCCAGACAAAAGGGTCCACCATGAGTGCATGGAGGGCCACTGATAAAGACGATGTACGAGCAGGAAGGAGCTTTAGGGCTTGATTCTGGCTTTAGAACACCCTACCACATTAAGAGCAATCCCAGGGCCTGAGAACATTGGCCCTTTGTCTTCAGATGGACTCATCACTCACACAAGAGTCTCTTCACCACAGCCCTCGGCCCTGCGGCTCCTGATAGAAACAGTCCTCGCTGTGGAGCCAGGCCACTTGATGGAAACTCTCCATCAAGAACTCTAGGAGAAACAATTTGTTTCAGCATCATCAGAGCTGGAGCAAAATATCCGCCTGGAGGACTCTACTTTGGCATCACTGAGACGAATTGTACAGAACACAAGTGATGTCTGTCATTCTCTCTTTCCACTTGAAATGAGCAATTCCATCATTTTATAATGATTGTAAACACGATTGGTCCTATCCAGACCAATTGATGAGTCACTGAAGGAATGTACTTTCTTTATAACAAAGTGCTTCACTGGGAGGAATATGAAAAAGTTAGATATGAAATTGAGACATAAAGCAAGAGAAAAACAGGTCATTTAAAGTTTCAGAAACTACTTTAACACGGTGACTGTAAAATGTCTCTTTCTCCATCGCGTTTTAATCAGCTGCCAGTTTCTGCAAATGTTCCATCCCTGCATGTCACTGTTTTGAATACTAGAGGGCACCAGTGCTCTCGTTTTTATAAAACAGCAGAGACCAGTGAGCCACTTACTCTCATACCAAACAAACTGCATCAAGCCGATCGCCCCACCTCAGCTCAGTCATCCTCACCTCATCCATTAAAACCAGTTCTCTTTCGCTTTGCTGTTTCTTGCAGAGGTGCAATGTTCTTAACACTAGTCTGATGCTTGTTAACTTTCCCACAGCCGCTCTTTTACTGGCCCTACTTACTGGAATGAAGATTTGTGTCACTGCACTAAAGTTAAAGTCTAGTGAAGTCGCTTCTTGTGTCAGGTTGACTGCTAAGTCATCAGATTTAGGAGGAAGCTTTCCTCAGGCTTATTCACATCCAATGTAATATGTTTAATGGACCTTCTCATTTAATAGAATTTAATTTTAATTCAGCCATTCAAATCATCAGCAAAATATGCCTGATAATGAATACATCTAATGGAAATAAATGAGATTAGATGCATATAGATGTCCTAGCTGTGGTTCAATAACTACAATGCACAGTATATCTGTACAGCTGAACTGAGGGTAATTGAATCTCTGGAGGTTTCCGATGTGTTAGTCCAGCGCTCTGTAACCGCCCACACCAGAATAGATCATTCCCCCCTTATTTCCAACGCACTTGGCCTACACAGTAAACAAAGTAGACGAGTTTAGGTCCCTCATCAACTGAAGTATTTCCACTGCCAGAGCCCTAATGTGGCTGTAGTTGCACACACGTCATTAGAGCAGAGAAGGCAGAGGTGGGCCTTATTATTTTTAATAATCTCCTGTTTTTGCTGCTTCTTAATCCTGGGAGATCTGCAGTCGGCACTTCCCCTTTGTGATCGTCAGTCCTGACTCCATCCTCCTCCTCCTCCTCTGTGTTGAGTCTTAATGACGCTCTGTCACACGGGCGCCCTCACACTGGCGGATGCTTTGCTGCTAATAGACCTTAAAGTTGAAACTATAATTGACACAACTCAGTTTTAACTCGGTCGTTTAAAAACACTAAAGTCACCCGTGTTGGTTTGAGCTGAACGTAGCTGTGATTGAAACATATTTCTCGTCTCTCTGCAGAGTGAATTTGACGGTGGACTGCAGGACTCATCCTATTGTGTTGTTTTAACAATGCACCCCTGCAGTGTTAGGTAATTCATTGAAAACACTATTATGCCACTTAGAAGTCGATCATCGCTCATCACAGTCACAACTGGACGATCAAGTTCTGTCTCTCTCTAAAGAAGTGAGGAATAATTCCAGTTTCAATTTAGCAGATAACAGATATTGAATAGTTCAACATCACGATACTGAAGCCTCTGCACATCTCTCACATCTCATCTTTACAGAATTACCTGCATTTGACTGGAATCCTCTGCAAGACATAGCAGCCGTTGTAAGAGGGGTGTAATACAGAGTGGATTATGTCTGATCTGTATTCAGTGCTCATTCTGACAAAACCTTAATCTTCTGTTTCACATAAGGCTTTTATCAGTTTCAGTGCAGCCTGGCGATCACGCTGTTTTAGTAATTGAAAATGCAAACAGGTAGAGTCAAGCATGCACAGTAAGAAAATGTATTCCAAGACTCTCGTATGTGCATGCTCATTTGGAAACCACAGAGGGTGCACAGTGCACAAAATAATCAATAGATGAGTCATTAAGTACTGAAATGTAGCGAATTTAATAAAGCGCTGGTTGCACGGCGTCCTTAGCCTGGCTGTGTGAAGGTTGAAGATACAGAGAACATATAGGCCCACATAACCTTCCAGGGCCCACCAGCAGTGCTGCATTTCATTTCCCAGAGAGTCAAATAAAGTCACCCTCTCCCTCCAAAACCCTCAAAAGTGATGCATTATATCCGAGGTGAATCCTAATGTTGAGCTGTAGGCTTGAAAAGGCTGCATGTGAAGGATGCTGCACTGAAAATGCTACAACTTCTTCCTTTTGTTGCTTTTTCTTTGTTTAATCATGAAGGAAAATATGTTAACGTTGCAATAGTTCACTGAATCAACAGGGCGCTGCTTTATCGGGACTATTTTGTAGAGTTTACAGCTTCCATTGCTTCCTTTCATTTTCTAAAAAGGAACTATTATAGCTTGGTTCATTGAAAGGACCTGATTTGGTACTAATTATGCAGACAGTTCATTGGGATACCTTCTATTCATTCATTCCGGTGAAGGGTAACCTAAAGTCTTTTCACAGCAAGTCAGCAGAAGATGTTGCAGAGATGTGATATTTGTCTGCAGGAAAGCTTACAAAGGTATAAGTAATAAATCAATGTTTACATAGGTTTAAATGGGGCAGTTCCTCCTGGAAACCAACAACTTATAACCAGTAATAAATGACCTCCTTAGACTCTATCTAATAACAGTCAGACATGATGTATGGGGCTCTTGCTGCTGACTGAAATCATGCCATCTAAACACTTGACAGGTCCGTTTTTCAGCAACATTTATTCACGTCACAAATCAGCAGAATACAGCGTTACTCTTCACAGAAGACCAATCCAAACAAACTGCCATGAACATTTATCGGATGGTGCATCTCTGTCTGAAACCTTGTGTTTGTTTCAGTCGAATGAGGCTCTGAAATAAGTCTTAGAATATTTATCAACACACAACAATCTTTCTTGGCTTTAGACCATTCAAATCATCACGTGTGACATTAAAACACAGAAGAACGTCTGCATTTGTTGCCTACATATAAATATAAGACTGTACAGATTGAAAAGGAAACAACAGAATCGTAGCAGCCAAATAAAACCTCATGAAGCAAATGAATAATTTGGATGGAAATATAAACCTATATTCACCAAATAATCATCTGAACTTGGAAATAAGATCCATACAGTTAGCCAAATGTATTCTCATCGGTGCAGATTTTAAAATACCGTATTTGGTCGACAGCATTGTCTACATGCAGTACTGGCTATAATTTGATCATATGCTGATTCTTTTTAGTTTTAAGGAATATTAACTTAAGAATTGCTGACATCAGCATTTCTCTGGTGAGAATGTATTTGTGCTTGTAACTTGTTCTTATACTGTCTATGTAATATAAATCGTGTAACTCATTGTAACAGGCATCTCCAAATTCAGCTCTAAGACAATTTAATAATATTTAATTTCACAAAGGAATATATGCAATATCAAAGTCTAATTAATACATCTAATCAGCTTCCTGTGCGACGGACTCAACTTTTGAGGGAGTATTAAAAAGCAATAACACAAATAGTCTTTCCAAATCCCTCTCAGCATCGTTCATATTCCAAGAAGTAAAATGTCAATCAACACTGTACGGCAGTGGAAAATATGCACATATATGATTATTAATATGCTGCAAGAGCGAGACCTCAGAACCCTCCAAATTCATATCCGCCTGAATCAAAGGACCTTCTGCATTACATGAAACCTGTGCATTCTGAGCAACAACAGCATTAACAAGAAATACAACCAAACAGTGCTGTTTCAAACCATACATCAACAAAAGCCCACAAAGTAAAAGCTCATTTTCTACAATAACTTCTAGCAGTACCAGAAAATAACTCCAGAGCAGGTTCCTCACAGAACGCTCCACTTCACAAAAAGCAAAGAAGGTGAGAGACGCCTCGACTGCAGACTGCGTGGTCCTTGTCCTGCAACAACAGCAATAAATGATTCAGAACGCTCCATATACTTGCAGTCTCATTCTCAGTGGTCACCGTGTTACATTGATCAGATTAACAGTGTTTTCTCAACGCTGAGAGGATACAAAGCCAGAGTGGCTTCAGAGTATCACAGCAGTGATCGCAGGTCCGGCTCCGAGGTGAATCAGTGAAAATATGCAAAATAAATGAGTGTATGCTGTAGATTTCCCGAAAAGGAATATTTTGGAATATATGTTTAATATATCTGTACATCTGTCCATTAAAAATAAGGCCTGTTAGCTTATCTTATTAGCACAAAGACGGAATTTTTGGACAGATTAAATAACGATATAATGTGTCAATTAGTGATTTTGTTGCCTTCAGATGGAGCCAGGCTAGCTGTTTCCCCCCACTTTAAGCTAACCAGTCACTGATAGTCGCATACGTTTAACAGACAGGCGTAACAGTAGTAGTGATCTTCTCATCAAACGCTCCACCAGAAAGTGATAAAGGTCCCAAATGTCAAACTTGTCCTCTAACTGTGGCTCGGACCGATGCATTTCTTTGTGTTCGGGTCACCGTTAGCGGGGAAATTACAGACACAAGTGCAAACACGTTCATCCTGTTCAGCTGAAGTTGCAAGGACAACCTGATATGATTTGACTCCCTCTCCTGCTGCAAAATACTTGAACCGTATTGGATGACATGCCAAGATTCTGCCATGACTAAATGACCCGAAAACAAGAGCAACAAAGTGAGGATTCTTTTCTACAGTTTTGGACTAAAGGAAACAAACTGTAGAGTGGAGACGTGCTCCTCAGTCTACGTCATATACAGGAGCATATCAGCAGTGGCAGGAAGAAGGTCAGGAAGAGGAGAAGCGGCCGGTTGGATGTCGCCGCCGAGGGGACGGGACGCTTCCTCCTGGGCCCGTTGCAGAGCGGGGTGTTGCAGCAGGAGATGCAGACTGAGTTCAGCCTACCGGTGCAGAACTGCTGGTATCCAGAGGAGGCGATGAGGCAAGCTCCAGAGGAGGCACAGGACTTCCGATAATGTATTCCTGTTCAAAAAAAACGAACAAACGAACAAACAGAGGAATCTTAAGTTTGTCCTGCCAGAACGCACAGTTAGTGAACAGTCATCCAGCTTTGAGACGTTAAAACCACAGACTGAATAGAAAAGTGTTTCCCGTGCTGTACTTAGATTGCTGAGATTAAAGATGTAACATATAAGAGCTGTGTGTGTTGCAATGCTGCAGCATTTCTTTGCCCTTCAGGGCTATGGAGCTATTGACTTCCTGTCTGCTCTTATTAACTGATGTTTGTCAGCGTGGTATATGTCCCAACAATTTGTATGCTTGTATGAAGATGAAAAAGTCATATTCTGTGGTGCTGTAACTTTTATTATTGCACTCCAGAGCCACTGACTCCCTTCAAGTGAGGGTTCTCCATCCTGTCGCCTACATCCTGACGGTATTTGTTATGTGTGTCTACGACATGTTGCAGCAGCCAGGTATGTTATCATTTGAGTGCCACTCTTATTGTGTTATTTATCTTGTGTTTGCTGCAAATTAAATTTCCCCGTACTGGACAAGACAGCATAATGATTGTGGGTTCAATTTCTTACTCAATGATGTCACACAAAGCTACTGTTGCAGCCATTGCACCTGCAAACGTCCAATTACAAGATGTCTAACCATGAAGCCAGGATACCCAACCTCAAGCTGTTCTCTTGCTTCAGAATATTAGTTAAATGCTTAAACTGCTCACATTTACCTGCTGAAGTTGTGGATGCTGCACAAATATCGTTGTGTCCTTGAGTTGTGAGATAAACAAAAGCAGGCTTCTCATTTCTAGCAGGAAACCGTTGATTTCTTTTGTCTGAAATGACACCTTTCTCTGGCTATAGCTAGCTAGCTTATTAAGCTGACGTTAGTTCTGTGTAGTTGAATATATTAAGTCACCCCCATTGATCCTTCATCTGGCTGAGGTAAAGTTAGAATCCATGGCTCTGAAATATCAGCAGCCTATCTGTGCTGTGTCGTGATGAATCCACGGCGCTGTCCGTGGTGCTGAAGTGTGCTGCAGGGAACACGAATAAAAACGAACAAATCGCCGACTGAGGCAGAGCAATGACGAGCGGCGAAGGTTACCCTAAACTGTGTTAGCATATCCAAGAGCGGTTTCTACACAGTGGGTGATACTACACAGTACATGTGCTTGTTGCGAACGGGGCTGTTTGCATAACATAACCTTGCAACCCCATGAATGAATGTAAGCTACTTATTAAATGATGTGCCTTGGACTTGGTTTTGATTACTACTGTAATGTATTGTAGTATGCTAGATAGCCAAACATGCTAATGATGGCAGCTTTAGTTAAAGCAGATAAGCAGCATTCCTTATATTTTTGCTCTTGTGTTTCTGGTTTTGGAAATGCTAAGGACACCACCCTCCAAAGTCCCAAAACAGTTGAGTTGGCGCCCTACAGGCTGAACCATTTTATTTTCTATAACACAGTGCAAAACTAATCTAATGTTGTGTCGGGGGCCGCTGAAGGAAAGTCTCTCCTCTCTGACGAATGAGCCGAATAAAGTGGTCCAGGGAGATAGTGTTTGCCGGGATGATGCCAGAGATGTCTTTAAAAAGTGAGCGTGACAAAAAAACAACAACGGAGCCTCACATATCTCTGTGTAGGTGTACAATGCATCACGGAAAACTGATGTGTTACACTGTCTGATGCTGGTGTCTGCGAGACTGTGACTTCTAACCACACATCAATCAATACAACTCTCTCCATCTTTGAAGCTGAGCAAAGGCACAAAATAACAGATAACAATATATATTTTAATTAAGACAGTGAAACGCACTGGGGATTTGTTGTGACCAACTCAGCCTCTTCTGCTGCGGTCAGTAGTCAGAAGTACCAGGATGTAAAGGTGTCTGGAGGGAGGAAGAAGGTGAGGCGTATTCTGTCATTTTAAAATGCCAACAGGTGCAAACTTCACAGCTGATCTAATCTGCTGCTGCGCTTGCATGACTTTTAATAAATGTCACATTACAGCAAAAAATCTTTTTATCAGTGATATTATTTTAAGATTGATAGTTCTAAAGTATCCATGTGGAAAAGAAGAGTTCCTATTTATCTGCAGAGGAAAGGTGACCGTCTGGAAACCGGAGACGGAGCTGAACGCAGCACTAAGAAGCTATTCGACCTCTGTGGATTACAATTTATTTATTTGCCTTCAGATGAGGGTAAGGCAACATTATTAAGTCGTAAAGCACTTGCAATTTCGTTGATGTACATCGGAGGGGGGGTAGGGGGCAAACATAAACTCTGATATCTCAACTGGGACGAGCTGAGACGCAGTCATAAACAAGGTTGTCTGGAAATCACTCTGTCCTGGATCCCATGAAGGAATATGGAAACCAAGAGATGTACAATCCTCCAAATTAGTATTTTAATAATGGAAAATACCTAAATCCTATGGACCAGCACCGAGCAGCCATACAGGTTTAACCTGTCACTTACCATCAGGTTTGACCAGCACCTCCTTCTGGCACATGTCCTGTACATTGACAGTGCAGTTGACGATGTACTCCGGCGTGGAGCAGTCATTGTGCTTCATCTCCTCACACTGGTAGCATTGGATCTGAAGGGCATCTCCTGAGAGAGAGCAAAATATTCAAGCATTAGTGGCATCGCTGATAATAGTGATTGTACCTGAATACTGTAGATAAACAGTCAGTCCTTTCTTCTAGATAGGAGAAAAAAAGTTGATTGAATCTACATAACATTTGCAGAATTTTAGAACATGGCCATAGAAGCACAAAGGAAACAAAATCCACCTACAAGCTCTTTTAAAGCTCACAAATCAACATATTTTTTAATACCCATTTTGCACCCATTCCTCAAGCTTCGACACATCTGCTCTCCTCTGTTCAATGTCACCTATTCCCTATTTTATCCATGCTGTCCTTTCTTTTGTGCAGAGTGCATTAATAACATCCGTCCACAATATTCAGATTCTTCACATTTTGTGTGTCCAATCTCGAGGCTACATTCCTTTTCTTCTTTATGTTTTGTTAGATTCAAGCTGCAGAGGCTTTCATAGATTTAACTTTGTGCGAGAGCCTTTGATGGTGTTACACCAAACAAGACTAATGGCGCTCCACAAGAGTGCAATGTCATCTTCACCGTCTTTTGACACTACGCCCGGCAGCAGAAGGGCAGCGGCAAGGCTTTGTGACTTCACAAAGAGCGAGTCATTCGCCAAGTCTAATCTTTGGTGCTTTTCAGTCTGTTTTGATGGCTGTCTCATAAGTGTCAACACAGAGGATATAGAATAACACATTGAAGTGAGAAAAAGCTGTAAAAGATGGAAAAAAAAGCACAGAGAGGTTATTTTAACTTCCCTTTTAACCCATAGATTTTTATAGGTGATAAAGCTCCATTTACAATTCAAGTCTGCTGGTGTAGAGATCGTCCGTGTGAATTCCCATCCCCTGAGGTAGTAAACTGTGAGTGTCTGACACATCTTCTCATAAATAAAATATACAGCGTTTCTCGCAGCTTTTGTAAATTTCATGTGACGCTTTTTTTCGCTGTCTGGATGGGCTTTTCTTATTGCCCGAAACCTCATCATTAATCCGACTTTCAGTTATAGTCAGTGTCGCAGAAAGGGTGAAACATCTGTAGAAATCAAGCTGTGGGACCTGAAATGGAGAAAGTGTCATGTCCAGACAATATAGTGTGTGCTGTGCAACACTCCTCTGCACTATGCATGACATATTCTCACTGGCAACTCATTGCATCAGAGGTAATGGGGAAGCCTTTCATTTTATTGAACCTCTGAATGTTTTTCAGAGAGGGCTGAGATTGAAAAGTTCTTTATTGCAAGTAATTACATCAGTCAGTGTTAATTGGTACACTGGATTGTTGCCTGCCAGGTTCAATTAGTATTTCTAAAAGATATCAGCATCATACGGATGCATTCAATTAAAAAAAACCTCAAAGTCCAGTAAACACGCCTGCCCTCGCTTTCCTAAATATCCCACAAAGGCTAGCGGTCCCCACTGATATATGTTAGTAGTGTAATTATTGAAATGGCACCAAACATTAATCTCAACTCCGACAGCGCCATCAAACGCATCTGATAAAGGTCCACATATAACATCACAGCCACAGCCTAATTACTTTAAACCAAGCAAATGCCTGAAAGCTCCATCCATCACCTGAGAGGAGATTGTGTGAAAACAAGGGACTTATTTTGGGGGAATATCAGTCACGCTGGAGGGCAAAACTCCAGCGGCCGAGCTGCAGCTTATCAGTTTTAAATAGCTTATCAGTTTTAAATAGCTCTAAAAAGGTTTTTCCCCCAACAGAAAACAGAAGATGATGTAAAAGAAACTAAATCATTTACACCTTCATACAAAAGGTGCAAAACCAATATCTTCTCATCATAATCCCATTAACTGTAATCACTTCAGGCACAACAAAACAATGTAATAACATTAGACACAGGTGTACAGCTCTGGAAACTGCAGCCGATTAGCTGCAGGTCTCTCTTGTAAAAGAGGTGTTTTATCTCAATGGGAAAATACTGTGCATTTAAAATAAAAGATATGAGTGTCAGCTACTCCAAAACGGAGCAAACTGCCACAAAAAAAGGCAGCACCCTAATATTCTTTGCCAACACTTACATACAGGCAAGAAGATAATCTCTCATTCTGCATCAGCCAGAGAAATAAACAACCAGAACCTGATAATCACAGGTTTAAGGTTGTTATTGTATTGAATATGAGTTTCTATCTTTTCCACCTCTGTGCCAAAAGCAGGGGAGTCCGGCACAGCGCTGTTCCTTCAGCGCGCAAAACCAGCACCAATAACACAACATGATTGTTAATTGCTGTTCGTTATTTATGTTCCTTAAGTTTCCACAAAAGTATACAAAGACAGGAAGTGAATGTTTGCATTATGCAGATCTGGATGTCCGATTTTACGCACAGACACGTGAGGAAATGAGTTACCACGAGGCAATAGTTCTTTTTTCTAAATGTAATGGCATCGACAAAAAGGCATTTAGGAGCAGAATATATCCATAGTAAATGGTTGAAACTTATGGACGCATTAGATGTAAATAATCAATATGTTTGTAATATTAGAGTCTGTTGCGCACGAAGGTAGATATGAAGGAAGTATATCTAAGCACTTGTTTTTGCTGAACACATGCGCTCCAGACTGCGCCCTCGCACGATGACCGAACTTGCACCTACCTGCGTTGAGAAGGACTCCAAATAAAGTCGCAAAACCGAGAAGACGCATTCTCTCCCAAAAGAAGCTCCGAAGGGAAACATCAGACCGAAGGAACTTGTTCAAACGGGGGCGTGGAGGACAAACCGCCGCGGAGGAAGCCCAGACACAGATCCGCTCATCCTCTCGGCTGGCTGAGTTGAGAGCAAAAGCTCCGCAAAGTATGAGGAGTCTCTTCTCCAGCGCAACTGGAGACAAATCCAGAGCGCAGAAATCATAAAGCGCACCACGTGATGGGAGCTCATAGTTTGCTTTGTTTCGTATCTCAGTCAGTTAGTCTTCATGCGTTCATGACAGAAAGATGGCGATAATAGATTTTACAGATATTTGGCATTTTCTGGTTTTGTGACATTTGAATTATATGTCTGTGTTTGAGACAGAAAGTTCAGTGATTCATATCAGCATGACCCTCTTCTCCTTTCAATATGGATTTTTGCTATAAAATATATTAGGACTTCAGTGTCTCATGCGCAACAGTGACCTTTGAAATGATCTTTACAAAGACTTTGGATTGATTGTACTCGTTCACTTAATGACTCACTACTTTAAGTGGCAATATAGCCTCTCTTTTACATTTTTATCAACTGTTATAGTACTATTCTTAAATAGTTCAGAAGTATATTGAGACCTGCAGCCTTATACTTTGTCTTTGTTGTATTTATAATTCCTTATGTATGTATTAGTATTTTCCATTTCATATCTATTTCTATAATATCACAATGGTGGTCACTACTGACTTAAGTAACCTTTTTATGGCATTTTTATTAACTCTTCTGTCTGCTCCTTTGACAGTTATAATATAATAGATTAGTGCTCAACTAAGCTTTTACCATGTTGTTTTTCACGATTTTTATTCAGTAATCTGATTACTGTTGTTTACTTTGAATGTATTTTGTGATCAATACAACATATTGAGCTTATTACTGTATGTCGAGGCAGACTGAGAGAGAAATCACCCACGCGTTCATAAACTAATTGCGTTTATTTATACGCACATAATTACCCATCAAGGGACTGTAATGGTTATAAATCCCTCCGCGCAGAGCGAACTGTGGCTGGCTCTGAGCTGTAACTCCTGCTGACAGATTGTGAGTGGGAAGCGTGATTACACGCGATGCCCTTCGGGTGAAAGACTTCGGGTTTCCTCCAAAATCTTATTTCTACATCGAAAGAAAGAATGAATCACCTGGTGAGGCACGTGCACCGCGCGCACACACACACACACACACACCACTTTGAAATAGGAAATTTCTCATATTTATTTAGGAAATAGTTACATAAAATATAGCATTAAAGTCTGGTGTAACAGACAAAATTACACACAGTAATAATAATAATAATAACAACATTAATAATAATTACCAAAGTAACACTGCTGGTAACCATTTCTCTTTACAAAGGAACCAGGAACATTTAAGGAGAGAGGTGAAGCATGACAATCACACTACAGTCTGACAGTACAAAATGTGGGTATAAATACTGGACATCTAGAAAAATACACAAGTCCTCTTCAGACTCTCTTCATACAATATTAACAGTTTCATAGAAAAATTGAAACACACAGTTGGCTCTGTTGATTAGCACCAGCTGGTCAAATTCCAGATAGAAATTTGGCATAACTTCACCTAAAAGTTCAAATATGTCTTTAAAATAAAGTGATAAAATATTTTAGTAATAGCTCTTATGATCAAAATAAAGATTTTGCTTTAAACAAGAACCCCTAAAGAATTCCATAAGAGAAGGATAGATGCCATGTTTCAAACACTTAAAACCTTGGTTGAATGATCGGCAAACAATTTACATTTTGTTGTTGTTTTCTCCTCATTTGCATATATCAATCAGCAATGCCCATTCTGATATTAACTTATTTTTTATATACAACATAATATACAACTATGAAAGGAAAAGTGAGGTCTGGAGAGTTCGGGTATGCTACGCTACAGGAGACTGCTTCGATTCTGAGTTTTGCATGAGAAACTTAAAAAAAGCAGATGATTACTGAGTGTAATTTGTGTTTGTCAACATTTTCCTGATACTTGCAGTTTAATTCTTACAATCTACATTAGTCCAGTATGTTCCCTGAGCTACCAACAATGACACTGGGTGCTTTCAAGCCAAGAAGTTGGTTGTTTGCTGGACCTGTGTACCAGTCAGACAGTGAAAAATCATCTTATTACGACATGGAAGCATAGTAGGTTTTGCTTCACTTGACATCAGATAACCTGCTGCTAAGAAATCAGTGTTATTAGCTGAATAGTGATCATTCTCAAGTCATTTGAAAATGTTCCATGTTGTTTGCAGCTGCATAGCTGCTTAAAATAACACACAAAGAGAAGATTGGCAACAGGTTTAAAATGATTTAAAATGAACAGAAATGAGTATTGCTTCAAAAGAGAAGTAGACTATGATGAACCAGGTGTATTATTAAGGGTTGTGATTCAACACGGGCAATATTCAGGCAACGTACTTAGCAGCAAAACATAAAATGACACCTTAGGTTTAAATCTACTTTACTAGCAATCAGGGATGCAATCAAAGCAACAATGTTGTTGCAACTGTTTGCCTATGTTGCCCACCAGCGATGCCCCAAGAAGACACGCTGCTCATCGCTGCTTGAATAATCGTTCACTTTACACTCAAACTTTGTACAGTTTTTGTCACAGTGCAAAGATAAGAAGTTCCCCAGCATGGAGAGAAATAATTTCAAAGAGACAACATTTTGTATTGCTGTCTAGTCCACCACACCCAGAGGCAAACTATTAAAAGTCCTGGTTTGGTGTTTGGGTTGAGGTTTCCTCCTCGTGTCTCCAGCTCCACTAAGTGCTACGTGTTGTATGTAGAGCGTACAGGGCTCTGCATGTTGTGGCAGGGCTGCAGTCCAGATCCAAAGAGGGATGAGACCAAACCAAGTCCAATAGAAGTATGTTTTACTTGCAAATGCATACAGTAATGCTTCCACAGAGATGACAATCATCCTGAAAAGCTACTCAGAAGAAGAGAATTTGCAAAGACAAAGTGACCAAGAACTTGACATGTCCAACATGTCAGAGTAATGGTCTGAAAACCAGAGTCGAGACTGGCCTCTCGCGCTACAGCCCCGCCTTCTTACTCGTCGCCCTACACTTCGTTGGAGCCCTGACTGGTGCAGGAGGAGAAGCTGTCGTACAGCGAGTCGCTGAGGGAGCCCACGGGATCGGCCCCCGGCTTGCTTGAGAAGCTGGAGGAGGAGGGCTCGTCCACCTTGCAGCAGTCCTCCTCGCTCTTGCCCGCATCGGCGTGGCAGTCGCCTCTGCGGCTGCCTAAGGTCGTGTCCGGGTACAGGCTGCTGGAGCTGCTGTGATTCAGCTTGTTCAGGGACTCCAACGAGAAGTCGAGAGAGCTCGACTGGGCACTGACGAGCGCCTTCTCCATGGAAATCTCCTTCTGCAGAGAAAAGAAACATCAATCGATAAAGAGCAACACATATGTTGAATGATGGTATATAGAAGTAGGATTTGCTGCTTCTTGTATTGGTAAAATCTCAAATTCATGCAAAAAGGAACTCCACATTCACTTGTGTTGCTTTTGCGCGACAGTCGTCTGCAGTATATAGAGGTTTTTACTACGTTCGAGGACCAAATGTTTGTCATGGGTGTTGGCAGACATGCATCTCTGGGCATGGGCTCACCAACTCTTCCCGTTATATTAACAGCAGTGTATGATGTATTATTTCTTATGTACAGCTGCTTTATAGATTAGCATGGCCTGGAATGTGTAACTTGGGGAAATGTTGTGCATAAAGCTGCTATCTGTTAACATGAGCAGCCTTCATCCTGAATGCGCTCACGATTAGGGTGACTACATGTGCTTGGAGTGGCAACAGTTAAGAAGGTATTAGAATTGAAGAATGGGATTATTGCAGGTCTCATCACTAGACCGGATAGTGTCTTGTGGGCCTTTAGGCAACTCCGCAGTGATTACACTCAACAACAAAAGTGCAACCATCTGCTTCTTTGGTACATTAAGTCACATGACTATGCAACATCACTGATAATGACCTCTAAATCACACAGTCTACTACAACAAAAAACAAGCTACAGATATTCAGGTGTTGTTTATGATGTGCCAACTATCTGAGTATTCTACGTGATCTCTAGTGTATGTTTCAAAGAGCACCGCAGGGAGCTGGTTACTGTAGCAATCAGCATCAAAAGCCCTCCTTCAGAGGCTGTAGACACCATTCTCTGAGTTGCTGCATTTTTCTTCAGGAATCCCAGCCTGGCAGAGCAGTCATCTGCACAGGTATCTTTGCAGGGCTATGTACACACAGGAATAGCTGGAGGGTCCAGGAAACCTCGAGGGACGCTCCAAACCTGGACCATTTAGAATTTAGCTGCGAGGTGCATCTCCCACCAGACCTGAATCCAGAACTACTCCACTCAAGAAGCATGAACACATAAACACACAGCTGCATCACAAACACAATCTAGAGTGACGTTTAAGTGGTAAAGTTTTCCACATGTTGGTAATGGAACCTGCAGGCGTTCTTTGATCCAACAAGTTCAGGTTTTGTAAGTTACCAAACTCATGACTGAAATGCGAATGTGCCAGAGGACCAAAGAACAAACGTCACGTTTAGAAGAGGGTTCTAATCTGTCCATCACACCTTTATCAGGATATGCTGCAGCACAATAATCTGTCATCTGCATAATATCTCACTGAGAGTTCTGCCTTGGTTGCTCATAATTAACTAAATATGACTTTTGGCCTTCGTCTCTTCCTCAAGCATGTTAACAGTGTCAGTGAGCACTATAGACAAGCTGCACCACCTTCCCAGAGTTATTAAATAGTAGTATTTATTAAAAATGAAGAAACAAAATCCACCCATGGTTACTCAGTTTTCTCGGTCTGGCATTGTTCATCCCAGAGACCGTGCTCTATTATTCTATCCCCTAACCTGCGGCTTTCCTGCATTCTCTGGAATGCTTCCTGACAAGTTCTACAAAGGCAGCATGAAGTTTTTGCGTTAAGCTGTATGTTAGGCAGCATGTGTAGGTGGAGAGAGTAAAAACAATACTCATTGTTGTTCTCAGTGCTGTTCCTCATGGGCCTGGAGCAATGTTGGTTTCCTCTCCTACCAGCTGGTTAATTGCATTCACCTGCCACCCAGGTGTAAACTATATTCTGTGAGTGGGGCGCTCATTAAAGCCCAGAGGGCCAAGTATGAGAACTACTGCTAGTGTACAGAAAATCCTTTCTCATACTGTCCAATACGTCCGTAGGACTCTGGTTTATTAAGGCTTCTGTCAGAGGAAAATATATATCGTTTTAAATGTGGGAATCTTTGTTTGAGGTATAAGCAAAGTACTATGAAAATAAGGAGGGATTTATGTTAATTTGTATGAAATAAAAATGCTAGTTTGCATTATTTACAGTCTCCTTAAAACCCAAAAGCGAACTGTTAAAAAACACCTAATCATCTCATACTGAGATGGTGTATTTTCATACGCAGAATAAACCTTCCATCTTAAAATCCCACCAAACCCTCCTAGTGTGCACCGATGTGACCTTTCTCAGCAGGCAGGATCGCAATACATTTGTAAAGAGGACAAAATCAAAAGGAAAGATCAAGGAAATTGTGCCCAGAGGTGACATGATATAAAATGTTAAGCAGGTTTTTGCAGGTGCGAAGGTTGAGCCCAAATTAAGCACAGCCAATGAATGCAGATTACTTGTTAAATTCTACTTCAACACCCACGCGTTGCTGTTCACAACACTATTTTTATGCATCGTCAGTCCTTAAAATTGTCGTTTTATGGCCTCGGGATACGAAAGAGTGTGTGACGTGATGGGTATCAGTGATTAGCAGAGCTGTGTGACAGTGAAGAACAGTCTGCAGGTCTTTACTCTCTCAGCTACGCCTCCTCTATATCTCGCTTTGGTCAGAAACAAGAAGAAAGAAAAGGAACGGCTGTCTTATCGCTGATTGGATTGGATTTTGGAGGAACACAATTACCAGCGGATCGAACCTTCCCGGTGCAGGTCTCTGTACCACCTGCGGGTTCAGCCAAAATGATGGCTGCACACATAACAGAGGCTGCAGGCAGACGTCTCAGCAAGAGTCTCCCATTTGAAAACACGAGGGGCCAAATCGGCAATTGGTTCTGCATCACATGTCAGTAATGGGATGTCTCAACTCATATTCAGTAAACCTGCTACAAAAGCTTTTTGAAAGAGTCTTTTATTGTGAGCAAAACATATTTCCTCCTTTTCCCCTGCTGCTATAGTTATTAGTCACTGAGGTTAGTGCTGATGGTGATCATTCATGAAAAATGCGTCTACTCAACAAGACATGCTCATCTTTGTAAGACAGTAATGGAACACATCCAATAGTGACGGTAGCATGAGGTTTTTTGAAGGTGACGAATCCAGAGCTTGGTTTGGTCATGATTATGTTAGGACGAAGAAAGGTTATTGGAAAACTTACATTGCTGCTAATAATTGTTGTTGCTATTTTGACATCGTGCCCATGATATTGTATAGACAGATTGAGTCTGAATTTACTTTTCATTGCAGACGATGGTGAAAAAGAATATGCGTCGTCTTGGCTGCCATTATTCTGAAAATGATTTTTATCTCCATCTCACTCCTGCATCGTGCTGGCTAGCAATGCTATCCAGCAACTGGATCTGACAGCAACTCAAGGGGAGCGCGTATTCCTGCTGGTGGTATTTATTTGTACACCGATATAGTTTTGGTTATCCAGTTCAAATTTCATGTCAGCTGAAATGTTCCCATTCCCTCGCCGTGAAATCATTGCTCAAGGTAACAAGCTGCTCCCCGCTCGGGGAGATGCTGTGCATGCTGATTTGTTGTACACTGGTTTTGGACCCGCGTCACATAAACCCGAGGAATCTCCCCAACTTTACAGACAAGTCCTAATGTTGCTCTCCTGCAGCAATTTCTTTCTCCTTAATGCAGACAAAGGGTGGAAACAGGAAAGAGAAAACAGTGAATAAGCAGGAAAAGGAATGTAAAAAAAATTTGGAACAAAAGCGGGAGGTCAACAGAGAAGAACAGATGAAGAGAGTTGTATGGGAGTGACAGAAATAGACGCAAAACTGGAAGGGAGACAAGAAAAGACACATGGGAGAAAGAGACTCTGAGGAAGGAGAGGATATGAGGAGAAGGGGGTGGGGGCCGCCGTTAGCAGGGCTGTCAGGTGCTGTCAGGATGATGAATGGGAGGCCAGCGCAGACTGTGAGGGCTCTGATGGGAGCCGCTGAGCTTTACATCACTCTCCTGAGTGTTTGTGAAAGGTTATTAAAGGCGCTTAAATCACCGGGCTCCGACACAGGCCCGCTACCAGTCACCAAACTTCCCCAAACTGCCCGCCAATGACCACGTCTCCCAAGTCAAAAGCTGCCGAGCCACGACAAAAGGAAAGCTCAGGTATGGTCGTGTGCTGAGAGGGGTGAGGAGGTGATGACACGCAGATGGATGGTCTATTTAAAGGAATAATGTAGGGTAAACGGGTTCAACAGCAGTCATCCATCATTATGGCTGCTTCACAGCTTAGGAATAAGGTTGTCAAAATGAAAGCCAACTTGGAATATTAAGTCTTCAAAGTCTTGTTTTCTTACAAAAAGTTCTCTTTACCAGCAAAGTACTTCTTTTCTTGGTTACCTCCACCTCTGCTTGCGTTTTGACAGCACAGGACATGACGCCAGGTTGTTTTGGGAGTAGAGCTCTTGACCTCTCAGCTTTGGTTCAGTCACGTTGAGCTCTACAGGCTTCCCTACTCAGAAATGCAGCCTACCGCGTCCAATTAAACGAGAGACAGGGTGGAGGATGAGACAAACAGACCAACATTGGTTGTGTGATGTCTGCTGTCAGCTAATGGAGTTGTGCTTGCAGCTTGGTCGCACAACACCATATCGAAGCGTCCTGTTCGATTCCCTGCTGGGACTCGGACCAGAATCACAAACCTCTCTTTCGCGCGAGTCTCGCTTCCAGTTTAAGTGCAAGTGCTCAAATTTGCTTTGTTAAAGTGAGCCTCTGCCTCATGCGATGATACAATACCTGATTGAAATTCTCTTTAGGCTTAGGGGGGTCAGATGGTAGAGTCAAGGACACTTTAGCAGTGGTGTTCACTACTCATTCCACCATCCTGCAAACATCAAACATCCCAACAAATCTGTCATTTTCTCCAGATAATGAAAGAAATAGTGATGATCATTTAAATCCATGCAGCGTGGCTCAGAAGGACTACACTCCCATGAACGATATTTAAATACAGTATATAATGTTGCTAATGAAAGCTGAAGCAGTGAGCATATTCCACCTTCCACCCATATAATCATTCTAATTTAATTAGTAGGCGTAAATGATTCACAGCTGTATATCTGATCCAGATGTTGAGTTCCAGAATAACACCAAAGGTCAAGAATAAAAACATGAATTCAGTTTTTTTTTCTCCCCACTCATACACAATTGTTTTTTGAACTTGTATTTAGTCGGACCCCTTTTTTCAGATTATAGATTTTTGTGTCAGGGTGGGTGTTGGGGCGGCAGCAGTGTAAGAGGAGAGTGTGGCTGTCCCATAGAGCCGGGCCGTGCATGCTGGAGGCCATTTCATGGTCTCTGATCCTCATTTGTCATTCAGCTGTATTAAATACTAATAGGCAAATACCCACTGACACAAGAGGGCGAGGCGATCGAAAGCAATTAGGACGCTTTTTCTTTGAAATCTGCAAAGAGTTCCAACGGTAGCAGAGAAAACCTTAGGGGTTTAGCAAATTCGTTGACATCAGGAAGTATTTCAAAGGTATAGTTGACACTGCAACTCAACAAGCCTCGCTTTGACCATCTGAAAAGTCTTCTCATCGAAGTCTATGACATACAGGAATGGTGCAAATTCAATTCATTCATCTGCATGCCTCTGCCGAGGGGAAAGAAAGATTATGCAAACCAAGTGACAGTGTGTGTCCCTGTTTCCTGGGAAGACTTTCATTGAGGGAAATTGCTATTTTTCTGACTCCTTCAAACACCCCACACATTCTCTTCATAATGTATAAAGCTGCATACATCTACACCTGGGAGCTGCCTTGCTTTTTATCACTTTAAACAGCTTCGAGAGGGATCCATGGATTTATTCTAGAACAACCAACCCAGGTCACACCGCATTATCTCCTTCAGATAGAGTCAAAACAATCAGTAAGAGTCAGTCTAAAATAACAAAAACTTGAATATATTGTTCAAAACTGTCCTTACTTACAGTAAAGCAGAACTTGATCAGCTGATGTTGAATATCTGAATAAGTGTCTTCTAATATCACTGTTTGTGCAACTTCCTGCATATCACAAGAGGCTATAATGGCCAATACAATGCTTGATAGGAATCAGCAGCATGCCTTTTATGAGTAAAACCAATGAGCCGTTTAGGTACTCACACTAAGTCTGTCTCCTGCTTTGCCATCCAGGGATGACTCCTTGTCTAACAGGTTGTACTGGGAGATCCGCCTGCTGTCCTTCTCCAGATGAGAATACACCTCGTGTTGGTAGTAGTCCATGATCGACAGGGATTTCTCCACACTGCTTCTCTTCAGGGTCTCCTCATTCTGCTCCACTATGGACGCAGGAATTTGTTTTAATAGAAAACGTGGGAAAGAATCTTCACAGGGGACTGGAAATGACTAAAGGAACTTCATAAAGCATTTGGTGAGTAAATGTTTCAACCAGACCTGAGTCACGTTTCTTAGATCTGTTGATCAGGGTCCTTTGTGGTGAGTTTCCGGTTCTTTCAGGTTCAGTCTCGGTGTCGCTGCTGCTCCCCGAGTACATGCACACTTGCAGGGCCCTTTCCTGTGTATAGTTTTTAAAAAAATTGGCATTTCCAAAGACGACTAGCACTATTATCTAACAAAAATCAAAGAACAATCATCTTTCTGTCAACACTTTTCTTTCCCCAGGTAGTTGAAAATAACTGTTTCCTGCAACATATTTTGTCTATATTTCTTTGACATTTTTATGATGTGTAAATATGTCAATTTTGAATACTTTCTGCCGGATTTGTGCATATTGTAATGTAAATGACATACACTGGGCATATCAGGATCCTGGGCTTTCATCGTCCTTTCTGTGTCCATCTCTTTGTCCTCTGTGGAGGTGTTGCTGTGTGGAGAGCAGAGACTCAACCTCTTTGTCTTGATTGCATCTATAAACCCAAAGAGACAAAAGAGAAATGAGTCATGGGGCGTAGAGTAAATAACCTAAACTGTTTTGCATTCACTATAATGCAATGCAAATAGTAAGAGGGAAGAGGAAAACATCATCTGAATTCCTCCAAAGTGACAATCCTTCCTTCAGACCGACAGATTGATGAAACAAAGGATGAAAATATCCATTCAAGTAAACCCATCCAACTGCATACACATCCATTTTTCTGCACATATGAAATGAGCTGCACAATAACCAAGCCATCAAACATTAATGGTGTCCACTCTGCCACTGTTCCCCGCCATGACTCCTGGCAGTCCAGATATAACAGGTTTCAGCTGTCGGCCCCGAACGACAGAGCACTGCCTTATTATCGCTCTGCCTACTGCCATCTCGGACAGACGCCAATTTAACTGTATCTTTTAACACTGAACTGCATTATAATAACAGCCCACTTTGGGCCAGTGCTCCATGTCCATCTGAAAAGTTCTGCATCAGTATCAGAAAAGTCCTTTCAAAGGAAAACAGTGACGCAGCTCCCTCTCTGTGATTCTAGTGATAACAGAAAGGATTGAAGGCTAAAACATACGATAAAGATGAAGGCTCTTCTAATCAACTTGTACCACGGGAAGACTCAACAGGAGTCGCTCTCTGTTTGCACCCACAGTTGTGACTCAAACTGCTGCCTCTGCAGTGCCACCGCAGCACTGAGGTAAAAGAGATGCAGACTAATGTCCTGTAAGCATAAAACCGCAGGCGTGATCGCTCAACCCTGTGTGTTATTCTAGCTTTAATCAGCCGTCTGATTGCATCCTACACATCACCTTTCCACTGTGCATCACACCGAACACGGAGGCAGAAGGCGCTTTATGATCTATGGCTGTGCTGACATGCCTATCTGATCGCACCCGTTAGTAGACGTCAGTGTTGATGGATTAACTTCAAAATTAGCTGAACAAACAAGATTCTTCTTTTAATCAGAGTCTAATAAAGCCAACAACTTCCTCTTGTCTGCTTGTCTGGCGCCCTTGAGCGGTCTGGAGGGAAATGTGTTCACATAAAGTACAGTGACATTCAGTATGTCACTTACTCTCTGAAAAGTAAAACAAGCTGTCTAAGGCTTTCAAGGCTCGGCACTTTGCCATCCAGCATGATGCGAGTTGCTTTTACAGAAGTGCATTTCAATTTACTTTCCTCTTTGGCATTGATGTTAGAAAATCAACAGAAATTGAAAGGTTATTCTTTGTCATGGTGCCACGACCAGCTGATGATAATGATCTTGGAGTAGAGTAAGCTAGCACTAAATGCAACATTTACCAGTTGATTTCCTGGAGAAAGGCCAAAGAGGTATAGATGACTTACCTGAAGCTGCTAATGTGGGCAGGCGGCTCTGGCTGTCTTGTGCGTTGTCGCTGCAGGTCACACTGGGGTTGGACAGGGAGTGAACCATGCTGGTAGGGGCATGTGGGCGGGTTTTTGGGAGGGAAGGCACTTTCACATCAGGTTGTGAGGGGTCTGCGTGAGAAGAGGGAGGCTCCCGATCGAGACCAGAGGAGCCGGCGGTCAACCCATCTGGGCTGGACTCAGATTTGGGGATGTGGCGACCGCTGGCCCGGGTGACGGAATCGGGGAGAGGGAAGGTGCCGATCCCGCTGTCCAGCGTTCTCATCTGACAGCCGGAGCCTAAAGTGACAGGGAGAGGAGTGTGATGTCTGGGAGAAGCACGGGAGCAACGGCACAGGTAAAGAAAGGAGGGCTTGGATTCACATGCAACGGAAAGGGTTGTGAGTAAAGAGGGCATCTGTAGCAGGTTCAGTAACACGTGGCCGGTAGGAAGCAGGGAGAAAAGACAGCATGTTTATTTGATTAAGTAATATTTCAGATTTAAAATGATTGTAGGTAATAGTTAGTAGTGGCTCCACCTTATCCTAATGTTCCTATCAGACACTCTTGGTAGAGACATTTGTAGCCATCATGGCAACAACAGATGCACAATTCTAATATGTTATGACACAAGAAAGCAACCTGCTGCCAGAAATTCTGAACAAAACACACATTTGAGCTGAAGCCCAAGAAGTTGTTCCTCAGATTCATCAGCGTGCATGCTGGGTAATCAGGAGAAGTGACCGCAAGTAGAAACAGATGGATGTGGTTTGGAAGCCACAGTTTGCAGAGCCTTGACTCAGGCTGGAACAGATGGACGACTGTTCAGCTCAGCCCAGGTCCATGGTACTTTGAACGCCGGCGGCCAACAGTTACATCGGCTCATTATTTGTTGTTCGCAACGTTTTACTGAGATATGATTTATAAAAGCGAAAATGTTTCATCTTTGTTCAAGTTCAAATGAGTTATTAGGGTGTTTTTCCCTGTGTTGCTGCGCATTATATCTTCTACTGTTAATCCTCTGCAGCTACCAGTTCTGTCTATGAAAATATTGGTGAGTGAAAACTCTGACAGCAGACGTAGAGATGGATCGATATCGTCAGGCTCTGCTATTCAGCTGTATAGTCTCATTGGGATGTTAGAGCAAAAACACAGTCTACTTATGAGCATTTCCTTCTCTGAATGAAGGTTCTCTCTGAAATCTGTTGGGTTTTACAGTTTGCAAGGGCGGATCACATTTAGATTTGAGTCTGAAGCTTAAACCATTGATGCATTACGTCTCTGGGGGCCATTAGTAATGCACTAAAGAAACAACTGCATCCTCCTCTGGATACCAAAGCACATGTACAGATGATGTGATGCCGTCTGTGTTCTTGTTTACGTGTACTTTTAGTTTTTATCTGACTTGCTCCAGACATTCAGCACCATACTACGCATGGAGAACTTGTGAAAAGGAGTCCTCAGTGTTTGGATGTACACATACACCGGGTTCGTTGGACAGATGGCCTCTTACTTTTTATTACATTTTATTTTATTCATCTTTCAATCAGCTGTCTCTCATTTAGATTAAGATCTACACAATTAACATGAATCAAAGAATCATAAATGTGAATATCAGATGATAAAGTCCAGGGTTTGAGGGGAGAGAGCTGGTTTGTTGAGCCCTCCACAGTGTGAAATGGGCTTTATCCAATGAGCGAGAGTCAAAGGTGTCATCTCCAAAAACCTTATTTGGAAGAGTTTTCTATGTCAGCAATCACATGGAAATGCAATGATAATTTACACATGTTAAGTCACATTTCCACAATATTGAGTAGTATCCTGGGTCCAGCATGTTGCAACAGGGACTTTTCTCTGGCTTTGTACCATCTGGTGGTTGTGTGTTTCCAAAACAGAGTAGAAAGTAAGTTTGAGAGCCAGAAGCATCAGCAGGCAGTGAAATAATTGGCGAATCATTGGTATTGATCAACACCGCTGTCAAACCCCTGCAGATATATTAGGCTCATTCTGTGCTATGGGCCAGTCAAAATGTTATTTATTGTCCCTTTACAAGAGGAAATACTGCCTGGAGGGAAGTCCTGCTAATATACAAGAACTGACCAGTGCAGAGAGAACTTCAAAGTCCACGTTCAGAACTGGGATTTTGCTCAGCGCTGCTTGCATCATAAACTGGCTGCTGGATGTAAACTATTTATATGATTGATGTGTTTGTCTGGAGTTAGGCCCGTGAATGCTGCACTTTGGAGATATGTGGCATTAAAGCAGCGCTGAGGAGCAATGAGCAGCCGCAGCTGAAACCTTTATGAAATATTTAGTTCATACTGTCTGGAAGTGCTTACCTGGCAGAATATAAAAAAGGCAGCATGTTAATCAGAATACATAGATAATTAAGAATTTCAGTTTTGTCGCCGTGGCTATGACACATCATGATTTCATTTTCACACTGAAGCCAAAACTATTTATTGACATGTTTTGATAACTTACTTTTCAGATAAATGTTCAATTCTAAACAAAGATGTGAAGCTGAGACCCAGTTTCTGCTTCTAGAGAGAATATTTCCACCAACACTGTTGTAAAGTTTGAGTCCATTCACCACCAGAAGAATATTCTGGATATAAATAAAGAAACCCACAGCAATTAGACCAACTTTTACAGCCAGTTAGTAATAAAGATATTGATTACAGCAGATTTAAATGAACAAGAATAGTTATTAACCTTCATTTAATTTAAAAAGAACTGCTATGTTCTTAAAACTTGGACAATGCAAGTATTTGAAAATGTTAAGGGAAGAAGCAAGGAGACAGATGACTACACATTCCATCCAGTAAACAGCAGTTGCACTCCCTCTCCACCCCACATTGTATCACACAACGCACTGCAATAATAGCAATCATCATCCTGTCTTACAAATGGTTTGATGCATCTATTTTTTCACTTCCTTAGCTGCTCAGGCATTGTAAAATATCACCTGGTTGCACATCAATCACCTGACTAGATTGTCAACGAGTTTCTTTTTTATTTATTAATTTTTCCACAGCAGCTGCTTCATGCCCACAGTAATGGTGAGTCTGGCAGCGAGGGGGAATTAGTTGGCAGAGGAATTGAGTTGTCAATCACATCAGGAAATCACAACTGTAAAAAAATGTGTGAATGCTCCGTTGCACTGGTTGATACGTGACGGTTCGTGACAGCTTTTCGTAAATCTGTACTAGGTGAGGTAATCACTTGCAATTATGAAGTTTAGTAGCTTAAAACATGAACATTTGGCATCAAAGTGAGAAGAGAAAAGTTGTAAAAAGGAGGATTGCACACAGGATAGGCTGCTCAGTCGCCCGCAAAACATGTCAGCATTGTTTTGGTGTTTGGCACTCAATCATTTATTAAATTATTTGGGTGAAACGGGACCAACAGTCATACAAAAGCTTACCCATCATGTGGTCTTGGCAAGCTGTGTCTGGGATGCGTCCGTCTTCATTTTCAGCCTTCAGGTTGATCTTCTGAGTCATTAGAAGGGTCTAGAATATTCATAAACAGTGATGTTGGTAATACAAACTTCAGTAAGCAGCTGAGATATACCACATTATACTGTAGGTAAGGTAGAGATCATGTTTCATTATCTAACATTCATACATTTTATATTTCTTCCTTTTGAGGTGACTTGCAATAGAAAAGTGAGAAAAGATCACTTATAGTACCTACAGATTGATATATTTTATGACTTTCTGGTATTGTGTAATATGTTTCAAGTTTTGCTCAAAAAGAAGTAAGGCAAGTGTAGTACTTTCCTGCCCTACTTTAATTGGGTTATTTAGTAAAGTGGTTTTAGGGTGGTAAAAGAGATGGAGCTTGTAGGTCATAAAGTGTTCCTCCTTTGTTGTATTTCTGTGGGGAGAAGATAGAGAGAAAGCTTGGAGGATGGTTTTAAATGGCTCCTTTGTCAAATTGAGTGCCTGCGATAACGAGCTCCTCCATGTTATCAAAATCCCACATCATCTGGATTAAATGTCCTACATTATGCAGCGAGATTCTCTTTGTGCGATTCTCTCCATTCAGCTCGCTCCTGATACTTTCGTTTTTTATTGCCATGTTGCTTTTTTCAAGCTCTCTCAAGCACTCAGGCTGTCCGTCACTTTTTGACTGACAGATAATAAGGACTAAATCCTCAAGGTTATAATGTTAGCCTTTTGCTTACAAAGTGCGCTGATACAATTTACAGACACTAGCTGCTGAGAGATGCCTAATTTAAGTTTGTAAATTACATGCATGACCTGATGACTGTCTCTGTGTGAGATGTAGTTTAAAAACCTTCAGCCTTGTGGATGGATACTGAAAAAAGTAGGCGATGAATTGTAGGCTGAGTCAAAGCACGATGTGAATCAATAGTGAGGCTTCGGGGGATATAATGGTGAAGAGGCGGCGGAGCAGTGGATGCGTTTGTGAACATGTACAAGTGTGAAAACCTGTGTGAATTTGCATGTGTGCGCGCCAACATCCTGTCAAAACATAGCCAGAGGCAAACAAGCAGAGCTTGACACACACATGTAATAAAGTCAGTTGTGTTGTGATGGCATGTTTGCTCACTTACAGCAGTATCTGGACAGATCTCCATATCTCCCTTCATTTCGCTGTGCATGTTGGGTGTGGAGATCCCAGGCGGAGAGGCAGCCACACAGTTGCCCTTCACAGCAGTCCTGCGAGAAAAATAAGATTTGATCTGTTTTTATGTCTGCACGCCGAGCTCCTCCCTTATCAACTCGCCAGGTAGAAAGTGAGCCTGCTGATAAATTGCATTGACCTGCACGCAAACATACGTGCACATGCACAGAAACGCACACACACAAAATGCCGTCAAATGTTTAACAACCTCTATGAAGTGCTCCCTTTCAAGTGATTGCAGTTACTCTGGATACACATCTGTCAGCTGTGGTTTGAAGTGGCAAATCAATGAAGTGAGAAGTATGAAATGTGGAGCTTTCCTGGCTTAAAGATGCTTTACCTCGAGTGTGCTGACTATGTGTCTGAACGCTGGTCCAAGAACTGCTTATGCTCACAGGAGTGGAGTCATAACTCAAACAGACAGCTGCTGTTTGTGCTGTTTATTCTCCGAACACACAATTTTAATGCAACAGTGGCTCATGTTTAATTTAATAGAACAACCAATTTGTTTTTCAATTGTCGATTCACTTGACAACACTGAGAAGGCTCAGTGGCAGGAAGTAATCAGCATAGCATCCGATCAATTAGGGGTAATTCATTCCTGATTGTACTTGATGTCAAAGATGTTGTTTCACCCACCTGCCAAGAATCTCTTTCATAAACTGGTCTTTGCCGATAAAGGCAGTCGTACACTGGATCTGACTGGCGATCTGACCCATCTGATTGTTGCAGTGGTCCATGATGGAGCTCAGCTTGGTGTTCATCTCAGACAGATTCTGCACCTCCTGACTCTCCCTCTGCTGGTTATCATTTTTCTTCTTATCCTTCTTCTTGTCAGACTTCATCTGTTTGCCTCCAAGCACTGATCCAATCTTTGACTCTTTCTTCTCCTCTTTCCCCTTAGGAGGGTCTGCTTTCTTACCACTCAGAGCTGGAAGTTTGCTCTTACGAAGGCCAAACCAGTTTGCCAGAGAGGGGCCCGTTTTCTGTTTGGTCTCACTGGCAGCTACTTTCTCCTGTTCTTGACATTTCTGCAAATTCTCTTCGATTCCCATCATGACTTTCTCTTCGATAGTGCAGACTGTTGGGCTGATTTTCTTCTCCTCCATATCCGGAGAGTCTGTCTGGGTATTTACTTCCCTGCTACATTCTGGCTCCTTAGTGGTGGTTTCTAAGCCTCCTGTCTCTCGCACTGGATTTTCTGAGTGATAGACACAAGTGGAGGGAGGAGGAAACTGCGGATGAGGGGCAACTTTTGCCATCTTACGGATATTGTTCAAGCCAATCCTATCACTGATGGGTAAGCTACGGGCCTCTTTTTGAGAAGGTGAGGTTATTGCCTGCCCCTTTGCGGTGCCCTGTGACCCGTCACCTTTGGAGCCTGATTTAGAAGTTCTCTCAGGGAGGACGTTGTGGCTATTTGAGCCTGTCATGCCTCCATAGTGGCTAAGCCTAGTCCTGGGGGAATGGAGAGGGCTCTCCGCTAAGCCAACACTTGGTACCTCCAATGAAGTCTGCCTTGACAAAGAGTTTCCCCTTTCACCAGAGTTGGTAATGATCTGAGTTCGGATTTTTCCCGGTCCATCTAAAGCATTGATGTTGGGTTTCTCAATATAGTTCGTGCTAAAACTCTGGCTCCTTGCTTTGGCCCCATTCATCCCCAAGGCTGGTTTAAGATGAGGTTTGGTAGTAACAGATATGGATCTAGAGAAAAGCTGACTGCTCCTTTTCCCTTTATCGCAAACCTCTTCCTCTTCTGGCAGCACAGCAGCATGCACTTCGTCTTCCAGTATCCTACACTGGACGTCACCTTTCCCCTCTGTAACAGACATCTTGGGTGGTGAATCAATACTGTACACTTTCTGCAAGCTGTCACACTGGGTAGAAGCATTTGAAGTCTCAGTCTCCTTGGAGACTGAGTTCATATGATCTTTCTCTTGCTTGCCTGGTATAGAGGGACTATTTGTATGGCTAGGGGGAGATTTTAAAAATGCTTTAAACCCCATTGGGATGCGAGTCTTTGAGGCTTTTTCCGCTGTGTTTGGGGAAATTATGACTGAGCTGGGTGGGCTAACAACAGCTTTGCCATTTGGGGGTTCTGTTTTACCTTGAAGGGTGTCCTGAAGCGATATCGGTAAACTAATAGAAGTCTTCTGCATTGTCTGATGGACATTATCATGGGTTGATCCTCTTTTACTTGCAAATGAGTTTTGAAGAGAGGACCCTCTGAGGGCACTGTACGGAGGGGGGACATTCTTTGAGCTTTTAGGTGCATTTTCAGTTTCTGGAGCACACCCTGAGTTTGCAGAAGGGAGGTAGTCTTTCGTGGTCATCCTCTTGTTAGTGCCTTTAGTAGTTGTCTGAGTCATGGCGGCGGACTTTTGAAGGTGCCGACTGGTTTTCTCAACCAGTTTCTGAGGTGCAAGTGCAGTCCCGTAGCCTGCATCCAAGTCTAAACAGTCTTTATCCTTGATGGGTAGCGTAGTTTGCATATTTGGTACAAGTGAGGTGTGGTAACTTGGGGGAGGGCCCCTCACAGTGGTTGGTGTGGAGGTTTGAGCCACCCATGTTTTATGTGCTTGAGGCGACCCTTCGTAATTTGGTCTGATCAGTAAGGAGGTGGTGCGGCCCGGGGGAGGGGGAGGAGAAGGGGACCTGAGTTTATTTTTGCTGGTTTCACAGTGTTTGTCTCTGGTTGGCTGTTCACCATTGTCAGCATACTCCAGGTGCCTCCTTGAGATGTGTGGGGAACTGGAGGAGGAGTCCTTACTCCATTCGGCCCTGCTGGGGAGCTTGGCGTTTACTGCCTTTGGGCTCTGTGAGCAGGTTACAGGTGTTTTGATGAACCGGGACATTTTAACTGCAGGAGAGGAGGGGGATTTCTCCTGACTAGAGGGTCCTGAGTTTCCACTGTTACTTGGTTCAGTGAAAGAGCCCTTAGAGAATCTCAGTGGTGATCCTAAAGGTTTGTTTCGACCGGGTATCTTTGAACCACTGGACTTCGGAGCAACAGAATTGTTCATGGGAGGGATGGAATGGCCGTTATTCATTCGGCTGGTTGGTGGTTTGATTAGTTTCCTTTGTGGAGTCAGCTGCATTGACAGCCTCTCTGCACTGCCCTCCCTGCTATTGCTTGTTTTGCTCAACCTAATTTGATATTCAGATGGCTTCTCTGGAGATTCAAGAACAGTGTAGTTTCTTGCATTTTCTGATTTTTGCCTTGTTGGCCTCTCACGGGGCAGTAGTTCTGTGTAATCGGCAATTACCTTGCTACTTTGAATGTCATTTCGAGGCCCAGCCCCTGTTGTGAGCTTCTGAGCACAAAGTTCAATAGGCTCTCCTTCTGCATCAAATATTGCCAAAATGCTCTCCTCAGACTGAGTAGACGTTGCCCCTTTGGGCACCTTGATTAGGCTGAAAGGCCTGGGCCTCCCATCTGCAGACTGGGTGCGTCCCTGCTCTCTTCGCAAGCACTGTTGTGCGAGCAGCTTGGCAGCATCTCGTGACACCCTCTCGGAGTCCCTCTCGGCTTGCTTCGGTGGCTGGCTTAAGGACATTCGGATGTCACTAGACTCAGAGTTGAGTTCCTCTGGATCATCCACGTCAGAGAGGGTATTTGGACCATCTGGGTCAGAAGGATTGAAGTGCAGCAAGGCTGGTTTCGTAAAAGCTGATTTCCGCCCTCCCTCAGGGAGAAAACTGTTAATAAAACTCAGGAGTTTCTCAGGACGCTCCTTTGAGTCAGAAGAGTGTTTTGAAGCCACTAGACCTGAGCTACCGTGACCTCCACCTCCACTGTCCTGTATCCCCTCCCAGCTACACAAACTGTCTGAAATGCTGCGGGAAAGCCTCTTACAGTAAAACCAGCTCTCCTTGGTGGGGATGTCATCTCTTCGACTGGAATGTGCCAATTCATCATCTGCATCATCAGAATCATAAGAGAACTTCTTGCCCCCAACAGCTAAAGTTCTACCCACATGGGTAGGCTTGGACACCCCTTTACTACCACTCTTTATACCCAGGGAGTAGATGCCCTCGTTTGAGTTCATGCAGTCTTTGTCGGCTGACTTGGAGACCTTGGATGAAACGGAGGAGCTCCTGTGTTTCCTCCTCTGGAGCTTTCTCAGTCCTTCTAGTATGTTGCTCTCCTTCCGCCTTGTGGGCAGCTGCTCCTCCGGGGGGGCGCAGATATTACTCGGAGCTGACGAACCCAAACTCAGCCTCTTCTCCCAGGTCAGAGATGACTACAGGGCAAACAATACACAGCGGATCAACAATTACGAAAATATGTTTTGCTTTTTGTTTTATCATAATCATCTTTACCTCCATTTGGAGTCACAATATCCAAACTCTTACAGAAAATGGATGTATAATAGAAGAAAGACAGCAAACAGGGATCTTGATGAGCTACTGTAGCTACTGTGTCTATTATGGAGTGAGAGGGTTTACCATTTTCCCACAGGAGCGTCCATCATTCCAGGTGTAGGAGCCGCTGGAGAATTCACTGCATGCACTTGACAGGGACAACTCACTACTGCTACAGCTGCTGCGTGGGTATACAGGCGCTGGCACTGTCAGGCTCAGCTGGCTCAGGCACTTGGCCACAGGGAGACCTGCCTTTCCATTCAGCTGAAAATCCTGAGATAGAGAAAAGAGACATGTGAATAACATGTAGCATCATCTTGTCTATTTGCACTCTAAAAGTTGTCAGGCAGTGATGCATGTCTAATTGCTATCTTGCTGTTCATTTTGCGATGAAAGATATTCAAGAAAGACTTGACAGACCACTCGAATACCTAAAATGTTTTGGCAATGCTCTTTTCAAACTTAATCTAAAAATATCAATCATATTTCTATGTGCAGTCATCAGAGCACAGCAGATGTTTCTCTAATTAGCATCTTACTGCAGAGGTTTCACTATGCAACGTGTTTTATTTGTGTATGCAAGACAAGAAATAAGGTATTTTACTAATCTGATATAAGTGTCACTTGTGCGTATCACCTAATGCAACCAAGTTAAAGATATGTGATACTTTTGCACATTCAGATAAGATGATTTTTTTATCAATAATTATTTCATTTTCTCCCTCTTCCACTCTCAAAGATACACATTACAGTTTATCAGATGGCATTCTCAGAGGGGTAAAAGGGTAGGAGAACTCATTGCCAGGCCTTAATGCATAATACATAAGATGACTAATGTACCACAGTGACCTATGGAGTCATTTTTACTGATAGCGAGTCAATCGATGGTTTTCTGGTAATATGACAAGGATTTATTCCTCTTAGTGCAGAGTGATACTGCCAGCTCTTCCTGCTGAGAGATGAGGAGGGGTCACGGCTTCAGCTAGTTAGGTCTGTATTTTAATATCTTGTAATGATTTCTTGAGGGGGTTGCGGTTATGCTACCTGGATGATTCATATGGCTGAACAAAGATAAAATAAATACATTGCCTCCTGCATGTTTCCTATCAAGCTTACGCTGCAGGGAGAGTCTGTATTCCTGGAAAGCAAGAAGGCCTTGCTTCTCTCTGGCTCCAAAAGCAAATCTGCCGCAGAGAGATCCATGATCCGAGAGTGAAGCTTCTGAAAGGCATAAGGAAGGACACACCAGATTGAATTTTCACTGCAGGGATTTCAAGAAATTGAAATGACAACAGCAGAATGGTAGGTGGATTTTTTCATCAGCACATATCACAATCAACAAGTCTTCTTTTGGCACCTCGTTAATATACTGTTTATTCAACAAAATGATCAGATTTAATATCTGAAACATCTTAACATTCAGTACAGTAAATCTCTAAAGTTATAAATGTCATGAATATGTTTTCCAACACCTCAAAGGGCTGTACAGTGTGTTGAGGCTGAGCAACATTTCGCCAGCCCATCAGATTCCCTCCACTGGTGGCACGCAGAGCTCCGATTCATACGCTCAAAGTCGTTAATGTCATCGGCCGGAAAAAAAATGATGTGAAAAGGAAATAATTGCATCAGGGAGTAAGGGATTCCTTTGATTTTTTTAATTCATATGCTAGTCTGTAGTCTCTTCTGTTATTTGACTCTTCAGCTTAGCAGGGAAGGATAGAAAACCAAATACATCTCCACGTGTTAATCTCAGAACTTAATTACACTGGGTTCCCTGTGCTCAAATGAACTAAAACTGTAAATATGCCGGATCATAACACTTGATCTTTTGACGCATTTCCTGCCAAGGATAAAACTAATGCTCACTCTGGGAGTATATGTATTTACACGTGTGTGTATTTCTGAGCCAGTCTTAGTTTCTAGCATTACAATGAAATGCATTTCTCATGCTGTGTACCTGCAGCAGAAAAAAATATATATCAAGAAAATTGCATGTTGTAAAAGTGAAAGTCACCTTCTGCAAATGGAGACTGAGACTACTCACATTTTCTATCAATGCCATCACCATTTTAAAATACAAACTGGGAGATCCATCTTCAATTTTATTGCATTCCATAAAACTCTTTGCTGACAGTTAGTTTTGACTTTTTCTCTGTTTTGAAAGACGTCCTCAGAACATTTGGTTGGAAAGAAAAAAGAAAGAAAACTGCTCCTAATGACAGCAAAACTTTACCGTTTCTTTCGTCTCTTAAGACCAAACAGCCAGCATCACTTTGCCTGTAGCCAAAACAACCATCCTACGTTTTTCCAAACGAAAACACTTCTCTTTTCTCCTTCAGTGACTAGGTGGTAATGGTGCCATGGAAACAGGGTGATGCGCACTCTGTGCTTTTTCTTCACAGAGATAAATGTTCTTCACTATTTTTAGGATTAATAAAACATCAAGCTCTGCTTGCTCTTCAAAACCTGGTTTGATTCAGTTAAAAGTAGTTAATAGCAACTGTAGAAGAGTTCTTAGACGTTTCCCGTTCCTCTATTCATTGTTAAGCTTCCTGAACAGTATTCCTTCCAAATTAAACATTGCATTGCTTTGGACTCAAAGCTCCAGATGGCTTCTCATGAAATTGAAATTTGTGCAGCTCCGATGCCGCATCGCCGGGCCTCCCTGCAGTCCACATGGGGATGGGAGTGGCTGAGGTGTCACGGGAGGCTCTGATCTTATCGTAGGGTGCTGGGTTTCACCTCCTCAGCATCCTCATCAAGGATTCAGTCAATAGTGTCACAGGGTCGCGACGAGAGATAGTGGAAGGAAACGGTAGATGACAAGGCTGTGTGCATATCTTGAACTTTGAGGTTCAAGGCCAAGATGAAAGTCATAAATGAACGCTTGCAAGACTGTGATATATCATGCAAACCTGCCCTTTTAATAACTATTAGTTAGCATCCATTAGTCTGGAAGACAATGGAGAAGTGTTGCGTGTAAAAATCAAGAGGCTTCCTGCTTTTCTTCCTAGTTGTTTTTGGCTCGACAGTGGTCGTATTTCAAGAAAATGAATAGCAGCTGAGAATAGCAGCAATAGGCAGCTTCCAAACACATACACCAGTATTGGCACCCACTGTCTAAAACTCATTGGTTGACTCCACACATACACACACCAGTGGAATGACAAGCAGTAAGAGAGAAAAGACGAGACGCCCACCTGTGTGACCCAATCTATACGTCTGACTCATCACAAAGGCTTTTCCTAAAGCTGCAGCTACACAAAGCCCGTTAACTACAGCAGGATATGAGACAGCTCTGGGCTGAGCTGTAATATGAAAAGCAATACGACAAGACTGAGGTGAGATACCTATTGAAAAACGTCTCAAGGCTCTATCTGCAAATTTAATCATCCAAATAAATTCATCACTTGAAAAGTGGCATAATTAGTTTGAATTTGTGATTTCTATTTATGTATTTTTTGCACAGGAACGTTGAGCTGACGGCCATGTCAGCAGCACGTTTGACTAAACAAACTATTCGGAAACACTCAGTATTTGTTCCAGTAAAGCCGGTCACATTTGAGAGGCAGCATCAATGGAGGGGACTGCACACCAGTTACTTTCCCTTGGCTCACAAAGAGTGCATGGTTTGAGAAAACAACCGTCGTCCTTATTCTGAAACTGAATGTCATGTGGTATTTTTTGGAATCAAACCAGTTGGTCTGAAGGCGGCGAAGGTGCACAACCGGTGGGGCTCCCCATTAAGGCATTATGGTTATCAGAGAAACTCAAGATGTGCTCGGGGAACTGGAGAATGTTTAATTACTGATAAGCAGAAGGTCCAGAGCTAGATGGGAAACAGTACACTCAGATGGCTGATTAAGGCTCCAGGAGAGACAAGAAATGAAACTCATCCTGCTTATTTTCATATCTTCATTAGAAATGGTGCTCGGATGGTTTAGTAAGTGGGATGGGAAATTAAATAATGCAAGTGTGTGGGTTTGGTTTCAGAAGTACGATGATGATGGTGCAATAGTTGTTTTTTACTTAGAATTCACAAATTCTTACATTTAGAAGAATAATTTGGGGAAAAGACAGTTAGTTAGCATAGCTTAGCATAAAGACTGGAAAGGGGGAAGAAAGGTAACACCATTTTTTTTCCTACCAGTATACTCTAAAACTAATAAACACTTTATATTTCATTGTACTATCGACTAAGATTTCTTTAGTCGATGAGTCATTTTTTTTTATGCTTTTCATGCCGAATGATTTATTTCCAAGAAACTTATGAGCACATCTCTGCTAAATACAAGATGTAAAGTGATGCTTTGCATGATTCTTTGTGCAAAAGCTACCGTTATACTGGCAGTAGCTTTATACTTAGCGTAAAGACATGAGTGGTATTGATCTTCTCACTTGCTTTAAAAACATGGGAGACAGACAGACAGACAGACTTTACAATGTGTGCTACTGGTTGACAGATGGATGGATACAATAAGAAATATTTCTTAATTGCATACTGTAGGTGTAGGAGGTTCCAGTGCCCTGTGATGACTTAGCTCTCCCACACATAACTGGAGAGCTCATAATTGGCACGCAGAACATCCGGAGCAGCGTGTTCACATTATGATTAATTCTTGCACTGAATCACCAGCTGATGTTTGAAATGTCATTAAGTAATGACATTTCCTGGCTTGTGGGAAAACCTACATGTTCAAATGCTTCAGCGTCGCTGTGATGATGTGTCAAAAATGTGGAAGCACAAACCTCAAGTCAACGGATATATCATCTCAGAAAAAAGTTAAAAAACACATAACACAGCCTTAAATCTCGTCTGCAGCTACACTGCACCTCTTGGTCCCCACAGTGATGTCATCAATATCCCTCCTCAAGCCGTTTATATTGGTTTCACTTGACAATGTTCTTGCCTGTCCAATAATGATACTGGAAGTAACTGGAACTGACAGAGCGCTTTACAACACACGCAGAGTCATATTATTTCTATTTCCTTTTTTTACTCAATGCATCTACCGTTTCTGCCCCTTCTTATTTTGCCCTTAGTTTTTCACTGTTACCTCCTCATTGTCTCGGCTCTCCGCTATCTCGTCTCTCTCTATTTTCACCCTCCTGTCCCCCCCCTTCTTATCTCCCCTTGCTTGCTCTTTTCATCCTCTCCTCTTTCTCTCTTCTGCTCTCGTCTGGACCGACTGACAGCTGCTTTTCCCTCTCCTCTCTTTTGGCAGCTTGCTCTTTCCGTATTGACAGCGAGAAACCCTGGAATTTACACAATTATGTGAAACCCTACTTTCCAAACTGACCTTATTGCCCTGCGATGCTATATCACAATAGATGGGGAAATCATATGGTGGCAGGTCCGTCTGTCTCATAATTACACCTTGAAACTCGAGCTGGAATGCACACACAGACATTTCTCACGAAATTGGTGTTTTCCAAGGGACCAATAAGATGAACTGAGGCAATTTCCAGCCGGTTCGAATAAGAGAATGTGGGGTTTGTGGAGAATATAAACACAGCGGTTGTTGCGTGATGTTTACAGAAAAGAGACTCAATGGTTGCTGGTTCAGATCTTTGGGTTTTTTTTGTCAGATGTGAAGGAGAAAAGTTATGCCTTCATGTAGCAGATTATAGTTATAGTGCTGCAAACGAGTCACAACTGCATTGGAGGCATAAAACTGCATATTTTATTCGGATTTGGGAGGAGGTTTTAATTTATGGGGCACCAGGGAGGACACTGACTTTTTGTGGGAACATTTTAAATTTGCCTTTGTAGAAGCTCTCCTAAATAGTTCAGGAGTTTAATGTCCATCCCGCTACAATATTTAGTCTGTAGTGAAACCATGAAAATAAGAACATTAAAACTGCACATATTCAACCTCGGCTTGAACCCCCATGCACGATAAACAAACTAAAACAACTACAAGGGATCTGTGCTTTAAGGCCTGCTCTGTTCCTGTTCCTTTCAGAACAGAAAAACTGCTTCTGTTGACAGAAAGAGATTGATAAGGATTGATGTAAAAGCGGAAGTTTTTTTTGTATTTAAAGTATTCAGTGTTGTTTGCAGTCTCTGTCTCCAGCTGAGACCCCGGAGTAGTTTGATAACAACCCAACAGAAAAACAACTTTAAATGCATGGCAATAAGCGCTCAGGCTTGTTTACTGGAGGAGCTGCTTCCTTCACAAACTGGGTGATTGCAGGAGAGGCTGCGAGTGAGCCAGCAGGTTAGTAGTGCAGATACACTCTTTATGCAAATTCAAGTGATAATAGCAGTGTTTAGAATTGGGTCAGTATGTTGGCCTCTTACCTGGAGGAGCAGGTCCGAGGCGGGCTTTATCCGCTGCTGGAACAGAATGCCCAGCGCCCGGTTCTGCTGCTCGAGGTCAAAAACTCGAGTCCGTAGCTTCAGACATTCCTCTCTCAGATCCTGAGTGAGGAGCAACACAGGGAGCGTCAGGAACATCTTCTCTTGTGGGTGTCATGTTCAGGTTTTATATTTGTATCGTGATTATGTTCATAAAGAGTACATCATCATCAAATGTATCATCAATCTAATAAAGCAATATTCTGATGAGTTATTTAATGAAGGAAACAAACCTTCTGGGTGAGAAGCGCCTGCACAACTTGATTGGCAACCTCAGACAGAAAGAAAAACAAGGCGTTAATGAACTGTAATACAAAGTCTTTTTGACCCTTACAGGCCTCTGTAGACTACTCCGCCAATTCACACATAAGATGAATTATTATGAGCTCATGTGAACACGATGGCACAATATTACAGAGTATCTGGTGTGTGTGCATATTACACACACCTCTTTTACAATGTTTAAGCCTCACTTCCTAATGCTGGTAATTACAGCGCCAGACTGATGTAGGAGCAGAGGCGTCTGGGCTCTGGTCTCACAGCGGCTAACACCCGCCCACACTTTGAGACCACAACGCCGATGGAGAAGCGGCTCCGATTACTGCCCATTGATTGCTGATTAATACCGTGTGAAGCCACATCGGCTCTTTTGAGTGCACTCGCTCTCGTTTATTGAATAAGGAGAGATGGGAGTAAATATGGGGAAATGAGCCCTACTCCTGGAACCTGCTCAAGTCACAGATCTGCTTTGTGTGAAATAGCTGAGTGATCAAACGATACCTGGCTTAATGGTATCGGACAGAGGATTTGATCTCCGATTGTGATCTTTGTATGAGTTCGGAACAAGCTATTAAAGTACAAATGAGCTTGCACACACACACTGATGTGTAGACCAGCAGCTGGGCCAACATAAAAAAATAATCATCCCTTCTGTTACAAAGCAAACGTTAGCCTTATTACAGTTCTGTGCAGTCGTTAGAGAGGCACACACAGCCTCCATCATCAAAACAGCATCGTTACCAAGCCCTCCCTCCACAAAAGTCAACCACACAGGAAAATATTTGAGAAGCAAACAAAAAAAAGGCGAGTTGAGCCATCTTAATGAGGGCAGGGAAGCAGAAAAGAGGCTTTATCCCCAATGCAATTCATGGCGGACGCAATCTCTATAAAGCAGTGTAACAAAATCCCTCCCCTCCCTTTCTTTCTTATCACTCACTTTCAATCTCCTTCCTCCCCCTTTCCTCCTCCCTTTTCTCTTTCATTCCCCCTCTTCTCTCGCCCGTTTTTCCCTCCCTGCGGCAGGTCTGCTCAGTCTGCTCAGTCCGCTGAGCCTGTTGGTTCCACAAAGTGGGCAACTTGTCCCTGCTGGACATGCTTCCCCGAAGCAGTGCTCCCCTCCCTTCCTCCTGGAGTGATTCAGCTAGCAGGCACAGCCAAAGCCGGGCTGGTTTACTCCCCTCATGTAGCTCCCTAAACAGCACTTATCAAGCTCTCACAAGTAACCAGAGGGGTTGTTGCATATAGGTATGATGGTAGTGCGTGTGTATAGTGTACAGCTACTGTTACTGCAGAGGAGTCTATGGGGCAAGAAAATAATCCCCAGGCATTTCTGCTATAATTATACGAGCGTCAACGAAAGGCCTTCTGACATTAAAGGCTCTGTAATTGTGCTAAAGCATGAAAAATAACCAGCATCCTTGTTGCATAAAGGTTTTTTTTCTTTTTACATTAATCATACTTCAAGCAGCTAATGTCGAAGCTTGGTTGGGCTTATCGCAGCTGAAACGTGCAAGATAGCCTCTCTACTAAAGTGAGTGATGAGAGAGTTTAGCGCCTGAAAATTATGACACCGTTTTTTTAATTAATTGTTAATAACAAAAGTTCCCCTCCGCCTCCCTCAAGCTGTGTTTCAAGTAAATTGCCAACCTGTGGGAAGCACAGTGTGCTCTGCAAGACCTCATTAAAACCTTAATCTTAAACTCAACAGTACTGCTCGTTCCACTGGCACAAAGTCAAACCTAATCCAACAAACATTTGTGAACTTTCCATGGTTAGTGAAATATCTGGCCATCATAAGGCGACCTCGAGAGTGTCAAGATAAACAAGGTTTGCTCTCACCTCATCCAGACAGCGTTCGTACTGTTCCCTCTGGCTCTCGTTCTCCACGGCCAAGGCAGAATTCTTCTCCTGCAAAGAACACACGGACGCATTCAGGGTCAATGCAGCGCCAACCTCGCAGGGACTTTGGTTACATGATGCAACAAAACAACAATGATGGAGACAGAAATAGCAATCAAGCAGAGCTGCAGCTAACAGGGGAGTTGCTGCCCAAAGGTCATATGTCAACGCTGAACCAGGAGGGCCAATAACAAATGTACAAAGTACCACAGAGATAAAGGTCAAGGGGATGGAAGTTATGATGCTGAACTTTGGGGCGGCAGCCAGCCATTTGGACTTTGCACCTAATAAGAATATCTCCTCCACTTGCCAAGCGATGAGGCGGCGCCCTATTGATCTCTGGGAGTTTCCAATTTGTCAGTGGCAGGCTGCATATTAGGGGCTGTCAGCCAGCCTTGCTTCTCTCGCCCTCTGCCCTTTAGTAGAACCTACCAGTGCCTTGATGAAAACATGGGAAACATAATTACGACCCAAAACATTCTAATTATGCTATCGAGGAGTAAATACTGACTCATTAAAGGCTAAAGCCTGATGATGGGGGGGAAATGTATATATAGATATCTGGTGTGTCTTATGTGTCTGTGAATGGAATTTAAAGAGATATCTTTAACTAGAGAAGTCTATGTCATTTTATTCATCATGCTTTATTACGTCATTACCATATTCCTGTTATTAACTGTATAACTGTTCTTTCTCTTACTCAACAGCTACTGAAAGACACTGTTTGATATGTGTTGTCGGTCGCCGCTACACCTACACAAGAGCTGAAGTATGAAGTGTTATCCGACTCTCCAGGCCACAGTGGCAGAACGCTACTTAAGTGGTATTTTGTTACCTGAACCCTGAATGTTATTGCTGCTTTATTGTTCAATGACACAAAAGCCTTTAAAAGATTGAAATGAGAATCTCAATGTCATTTGGATTTATTAATGGATTTATTATTGTTGCTGCAATGCATGCCGTAACATCTTCCTCTATCATTGTCCTCTGGAGAACCTTGACATAAACTGCTCTCTTGGCTAACAAACACTTTAAAAAAAAAGACATTTAAATTTGTGAGGTGACTTGTTTTTGAGGGATTATTTATATTTCCTCCTGCTGCTGTCAGGAGATTGGCTGCAAGCGAGGCACAATGCACACACTGGTATGTGAACAGTCAGTTTGGGTACAAAGAAACAGATAAATGCAAAGAAATGGCCATGTTTACTGCCATGGATTATGTCGCTGTGGCCGTTTTTAAGCTTGCGGAGCTTGTTGGTGCTCTGTGCAAGAATGAATAGAAGGGAACTGAATGGGAACTAAAGCCCTGATGTCTCCAACGTCTGCAGGTTAGGATTTTGTAAAGTAGGGTTGTTTAAAGTACTGGGGTGCCGAACGCGATACACTGAGTATGGATAAGTACCACATCAACCACACTTCAAAACATCCACTCTATCCCTGTAAGGAGAAAGGAATCCATTAGAACACCTTAGTATTGAGAGCAGAATATAAACCGAGATGTTTGTGCATGAAGGACGTTAATAAATGATCCTCTGTGGCCACATGGGTAATTTTAGCCTTTATGTTCTCACCACTTAACAAGTAAGATGACCAACAGGCATTTCTCCTGAATTCTGGGTGTTTTCATGAAAGCTCCAGTTATAGACCACAGTGCGTGCCTGCCAAGTTAATGAACAGCATCAGTTGAGCAGGAGAAATAAGAGCCGGGCAGTGCTTACTTAGTGTCTGTGGAGTTTATGCACAATGAGCGGCAGTGATGTATTGCCTCCGTTTTGTTCTCGCTGCTTTAGCCGGCGGATGAATCCATCACCCGCGCCGGCAGAATGGAATTAAATGGCGGATAACTTTTGATAAAGTCGTTTAATGTGTAATGTTTAGGTATTGTGCTTCATCAGATGGATCACCGGGACAGCTTGACCATACTTCCTGCCAGCTGAGGAGCACTTTGCTGTAATTAGGGTCTATTTTCTACCAGAGAGTCTTTAGTGTATCGGTCCAGGGACTCTTGTTCTTTTCACTTCTTTATACATGTGCACTTTAGTTCCTTGTTAGATGGAGGTGTCAGTTATATACTGGCTTCTTTTGCATTGGTATCTTCCAAATAATTGTGCATGATGGCTTGAGGTAAAGACTTAATGTCACACACTTTTCACCACATCAACATCTAGAGGCCACGTGGAGCCTCTTAGAGATGAAAAGGTAAGACTGGTGGCCTAATTTAATTAAGTCTGAGTACTTTAATTGCAGAAGAGATCTGAGACGATGCTTCGGTTAAAAAAAAGCAATCAGCATGGATCACTGTGGCTGCGCTCTCGCCTCGGCTGTTGCTCGGGGCTCGTGGCGGAGTGCAGCTCAAATCCCCGAGCGCAGAGGAAAACAAAGAGAAGCTGGAGTACAGCCGAAGCCCCTGCAGCGACTCTCGTAGGACGACTTTGCTCTCCAAACGAAGGAGAATTTGATGAGCTGTCATGCTTTCAGACACTACTGAGCAAGGACTCTGACAACTGGCAGACAGGCTGGCCACAAAGTATCCAGCGGTGTCTGGAGGAGTGGATGAAGAAGAATGAAGATGCGGGAATGAAGAAAAATAAAGCGGAGAGAAGGAACGTAGGTAGAGAGAGAGAGAGAGAGAGGAAACAAAGGGACAGCAGTAAAGAGAAGGTGGTGCAGTAGTTACCTCCAGGGCCTTGAGGCGATCCAGAAGGGGTTTGGATTTGTCTTTGTCCTCTTCTGCTTGGCTGGCATCAGGATCGGTGTTTGGCGGTTCTGGCTCCGTCTGAGTAGACGGCGGGGAGCCGTTCTCTTCGGGGCCATCGTACTGTTTCCGCACTTCCTCGGAGAGTTTATCCTGATGAACAGAAAGCAAGACGAGGTTAGAGGGGGAGAAAAACAGGAGAAGGGGAGGACAGAACATTTGGCAAGTAAAAGCCTGAGCAGATGGGAAGAAAGCATTCAGGAGTGAGGTATGACAAATGTTTCAGGGCAGGAGGCAAAAACGGTTAAGGAGCCGTGAAAGACAAAAATCAGAGAAAGTGAAAGGGGAGAGGATCAGATGGGCAGACGGGACAGCAGGGAGGCAGCTTCGACAACAGAGCAGCAAAACATCCCCTAATCCCTAATCATGTTTCACTTGTTTTCCAAAGAGTGGCAGTGACCTTGAGGGCTCTCATCTCATCTGTGTGATGGGGATCCTTCTCTCTCTCTTTGCCCTCACTGTGTGTCTCTCTCCCTTAGTCTCTTTGCCAGCTATCTTTTTCTCTTCACGGCATCTGCAATAATTAACTACGGGTAATAATAAGCCACTAATTAGGCATTGCCTGGCTACCACCGAAGCTTCGTGTCACACTCAAGAAATTATTCCTTCTTTTTCAAGGAATCTTTAGAGCCTAATAGTATGTTGTTTACTGAACATTAAAGTTCAACTAAAGAGTGACGTTCACCTCTACAACACTCAGAATGTTTCATTTGATTAGAACTGTCAGAGCTCTGAAGAGGTCAAACCTTTCCATCATCTCACAAGAAAATAAGGTTTGAGAAATTTCCAAAAGAGAATCTAAATTTCATGAGCAGAACAAAAACATATTTTTTGTTTTAGATTACATATGTTTAGATCTGTTTTTAGTGTGTTGGTTGAGGGAAAACAAGCAATTTAAAGACTTCAACAAAGACGAGCAACAAAAGCAACTAAACAACTTTAACATGTGCTGTGCTGTGAATGAAGCAATCTCTTCTTGAAATGAGTTATTCAGTTGATAGAGTGTGATATATCATGGTGCACACGCGCGCTATTTGTCATTCCTAGCTGAGCTTTGACAGATACTTGTCACACCTGAAGATACCTGTGGTTAATGTGCTGGACAACGCTGAGGTTAGTCGCACTAATGGATGGCTGCAGCTCATCTCTTACGTATCCAAATGCAGCACGAGATACTTCTTTCTCCTAACAGGAATTGGAAATAATGTCCTTCAGGGCACTTTGTTTTCAGCTTGATCCAGTCTCCTCTAAAAATATATTAGGCTTTCAATCTTGCTCGATTCCATCAGACAATTGAGTTCGAGGCAATTCTTTAAAGTCACGGTTTTAAGTTTGCTTTTGTTTGCTGAACTGTGAAGTCTGCTGTGAGAGACTACTCATCAGACGGCGTTAAAGGGCTCGGCAATAATCACCGCAGAGAGAGTCTGCAGAGGGAGAGGGGCGGAAACCTTGTCCCTCCCGCTGCCCTTTCAAGTTATTGAGTTTGTCTGCTGAACACACAGAATGCAGCTGCAGCAGAAGTAGAGCTACTGGGAATACCATGATAATAACCCTCCAGGTTGATTCTCTGTGACTGCTGAACATAAGAGCAAGGTATGTCTACATGCAGTAAATATCAGTGTGGAACATATTCTCTTTACATAACATCTTCTGAAACACAATTTTATGGACTTGTTTATTCCATAAAGGGTTAAGTGACATAAGTAAGAAGTCAACACTGCATGTTTGAATGGAAGAAGCCTTAAAGTATTCTGCTGAAAGCAAACTTATTTTCATAATACTGAATTAGTGCTCATAGTTGAACATATTTACTGAACGCCTCCACACACCACTTCATATTCCACCTGCTGTCGCCCTGTCATTCTGGTTCTCCTCAACCTAATCCGTTTGTGTCGGGGAACCCAGGAAAGGATGACTCTGTGTGCACAGAGAACACTATTTGCATATTCTCTAGTCATATTTTCATTATAAAGCCTTTGCACCTCAGCACAGTTTACAGCACATCAGCTTTTTATCATGACGGCTCTTCCCATGTTTCACAGTCCTGACATTTATTCTTATAGCGCTCGTTTTTCTAGTCTGCCCACTTTTATTTGCACTCATCATTCAAAGATGTTCTGCATCTATTTCCGTATTTTATTCAGAGTGATGAACTCATGCAGTCATTTTTATTGCACACTTTTCCTCGCTTCCCTGGAGGCATTGTGCCGCTGGACGTTAAAGACAATCATTTGGTCGCTGCTTTAAGGGCACAAAAGATTTCAGTCAACCTCCTTATTACCTCACTGATCTCCTAGTTTCATAAAACTGTCCGGTGTTTCAAATTAGCACCCACTATAAACACTATGATAGTTGCATCGGATCGCGCTGTCATGACATCATATGCTTCATGTGACATCAAAGAAAGATGTGTGATCTGAGGCTGGATACAGTATGGTAAGTCTACAAATGAATGCAACACATAGTTGGAAGAAAACCTTTGTTTTCTATAGTTAAGTCTCTCAGAGCTGGGAGTGAATCACACCCCACTGATGACAAACAGACTGAGGCAACAGCATTTTGTTGCTGCGGCACCGTGTAAACACGTCAAGTGTGACCCTGTGCTTCAGAAATATCTGTATTCTTTCTGCTCAATCCCAGCGGCTATTTCTCTTATGTAACAGGGACAGCGATGAACGCACTCACCTTGGCTCAGCCTAGCGTTATTAAACACCGTCTGAGCTGCAGAATGAGACGCAAACAAAGATATCTGTAGCTACCAAATGATTACTGCCATAGCGATTCTGATAACTGAATTTATGGATCTGCCTATACCAGTGTGTTAAAAACAATATATTTCTTAACATCACATTCTTAACAGCTGTATACCTCCATTATTTAGTTTGACAGATATTCCAGTACAAGTCATTGCCAAATTGCTGACATTTTGTCAGCTCAGGTTAAAGTTGCAGATCCGGGAGCTTGCAGCTCTCAACAGAGATGAGGACACGTGTTGTTGTTCTTCCCGCGTAGCGTAAATACTGGTCTCAGAACAACTCTACTCTCTAGACATCCACTGTCCTTTTAGTCTTGTTGAATGACCACAGTTGACTAATTTACCCTGTAGGCCTTCATGATGTCCACCGTGTCCACAGCAGTCTGCTCCACGACGCCCTGATTCTGCAGCAGCGACCACACCGTCTCTTCCATCCTGCACACAGAACACATGACATCGCTGTTAGGTTATGGACAAACAAAGTCATTTGACATTTAATTTGAAGGACCTGTTGGCTTCACATCAGATAAAAATAAGCATGCACACACAAATACACACACACACTGACAATGAAAAGAGAATGAGACTGAATCAGTGCCAGAGATGGATGATGGGATTTTTTTGGGATTGAATCCCAACTTCTGCTCAGTTCACTATGCTCGGTCCAAATGACTAGATTGAGTACAAAATGTGCAAACATAGTACTTACTGCCTTATTGTTTGTGATTTTGTAGGCGTGTGTCTGTACGCGGCCGTATGCGTGTCTGCTGATGGCTTGAATTAAGTGCAATCACAGCAGCAAACACCGAGCGGGTGACCTTGGCCATCAAGTCCTGGTCTGCTCAAAACAATCTCAGCCTCTATTTTGTGCTGCTAAACACCGCAAGCTGCATGCAACACAGGTGGCAAACAGTGCATGTGAGAAATGCCTCTGCCTATTTCCATCTGAATAAGAGCCACATACCATCTTCATCCCTCGAGCTGCAGGGTGAACTTTAACCCGACATGCATTCACTTTCTGATTGTGTAAACCACAGCACCAGATCAGCTCCATAAGGTGATGTTGGACTCAGCTGGGATGATGTAAAATTGACATTCAGGAGCACTGGCGGATGAGTGACAGCCAGGCATTGTTAAGAAGGAGAATCTTGACAAAAGAAAGGCTTTGACATAGTCAGTTGGGAATCTTCTAAATTTCATGACACTGGTTTGATTCCCAGTGAAATTAAACAAAGGACCAGTATGTTCTCAAAAAAGAGATTTGAAATCTCAACAAGGTTAATAGTTTTTAAAAAAGGAAAGACTTCAGATGAAATGGACGATCATGGTTGGAAATGATGATTTTTAGACTGGGATTCACCAGGCTTGTCGCATATCATTCACATTCGCAAGAACAATCTCCTCCTTTTCTTTCTAGTCCCAAACTCATGACTTCTTATTGTCTTACTGTCAAACCAATGCCAAAGAGTAAGAATCATACACAAAGAGAGTTCAACCAACTTCTGAAAGTCCTCTACACATTTATACATAATGCATTTGCACAAATGAAGAGACTGCAATTAATCAACAGTACGCATGGATTGTTTTTTGCACTTTTGTAATGAGAAAATTACCACCCTTATAAATATGGAGCTGTGGCCAGCAGCCAGTTAGCTTAGCTTAGCATAACGACTGCAAAAAGAGGGAAACTGCTCGCCTGGCTCTGTCCAAATGTTACAAAATCGACCTACCGGCACCTCTGAAGCTCACTAATTAACACTTAACATCGTGTTTGTTTAATGTAACCCAAAAACTGAAAGCCAAATAATTACAGCAATTGTTTAAAACGTATTTAATATTCAGTATTTGTTTGAATTGTCATGGTGCTTGAAGAGGAGCTGGTAACAGCTTTATTTACAGTACAATGCTGTATTTGTAATATCAGTAATACTACAGGTGCTGTAATGTTCAGTCTCAAGAAAACACCAAGTATACTGATTTACCACACATTATTTAGTGATTTAAATCACTATCAACTACTATCAATATAGCATGCATAGGTTCTATCCATGCTTATCATTCCCAAGTTCAGCACTGATCGGCCCTGGCTGTGGTGAGAGTGGGTGAGAATGAGCGCAGGCAGGCAGGGCGGCGCTAGCTGCACCATCTGTCCAGGCTGAGCCATAAAGCCGGCTGTAATCAGGCTGCTAGCTGCTGACTGAACAGTCGAAGGGGCGAGCAGACAGAGCTGGTGGCAGATTGCTCCAGTTCCTGCTTTAAATGCTGGCCTTAATCAGCACAACCTATAGAGCAAAGAGGACGTGACACAGACAGCTTTAAAGTCCGGAGACGCTGACACCGGGTCAAGGACTAGCTGACAGGCATGATCAGCATGCGAGTAGGGGTAGGTCTTGGACTGAGGGGATTTGGGCAGGTGACCACCTTCAGATAGAGCCTCGGTGCGAGTCTCTAGTATATTATAATGACATTCAGGTCACAGAGGTGAGCATCTGTTTTTCTGAAAGATAAATCCCTGATGATCTTGCAGAAACTAACTCTGGTTTAAAGGAATTTACAGAGTCCTCTGTTCATAATATATCACAATATATATTTTTAACCCATTTCTCAAATTCCTCATCCTTAAAGTCCATCTGTACTGTTTTCCGTGATTTTCACAAAGGAACACCCACTCAACCATTGCAGTGATGAAGGTTACCACAGTAGGCTAATCAAACAGGTCCTGAATAATATGAGCACTAGCACTGCAGATAGATATTGTACATATGTGCTTTTAGTTGCTCACTGTTTGCTCTCCTGTTAACTATGTGGTTGATTTGTTGCACTAAAAATCAGTAACACGCTGCCAGTGGACACAAGCAGGGCGAATATGTAAATGTGGGACTTTTCCAATTAGACCTGAAAAGAGAAATAACTGAAATATCATTAGCCAAGGCAACAGATGGAGTCAGAATTATTCTAATGCGGCATAAATGACAACATGTGCCAAATAAGCCAGAGAGGCTAAGATTAAATGAATAATATCAGCGTTTGTTTTTTGCGCCAAACCTGCAGAACAAACTTCCCAGCATGACCTCAATGGCCTTTGCATTACAGAGTGGCAGGATGGTAAGAAACACTTTGATGCCTGCTTCCTCATGTTGTAGCTGGAGGGGGGCTGGGGAGGGGGGGGGGGGGGGGGGGGGGGGCTTGGGCTGAGGTCTGTTTTCAGGGATCTGTGGCACTCTAGCACACCTGAAAGAACCCTTTGTGGTTCTAAACAGCCCCACGGAGCTGCATCACTTTCCATACCGCTTCCATTTCAAAGTCACATAAAGCACAGATGTGCGGCTTCTCACTAGACAGACTTTGGTGCGTTTGACGGCAGAGGAAGAGCACTGAAAGACTCTGAAGTTGAGCAGTGGTGCTGAGGGACTAGAGATACTTAATGTGGACGGAAAGACTAGGTCCATTTGGAAGGAAGATTCCCTCTATTCTGGGTAAAAAAACGTAGCCATCAGGAAATCCTCTAAACAACATTCATCCACTCCAAATATGTGTCTAGCTGTGTGGTGAGGTGAACAAAGGATTGTGCCTGAACTACTAGTTATCATCACAACACAAACAAGAATTTGGACAATTACCTCCGAGTAATCACTATCGATGGTGCACTGATTACTAATACCAACAGAGCGCTTACAACGCTATTTAACAGCACTCCTTTTCTATCAAAGCACTGATAATAATTAGCATTTATGTATGAGAGATCCAATTATGAAGTGATTCCAAAAGCATCAAGGTACAATTAAGTAATGAAATCTAAGCAGTAAATCCTGCTAAAAACAGAATGGGCATCCAGCAAAACATCCCATCAAATAAACAATGTCATTTGTCAGTACTGTAAATTCAGCCTCCTAAAACCTATTTATATGTGAGAGAGTCTACTAAATGCCTATGATGGATGGATTATAACTCTCAGATGACAGAGCATTACTTTACATAAAAACATAGTCTTGCTCAGAGTGATAGTGTGATTAATCTCAAAGTGCTTGCCAAGGACCTATTGAAAACATCATTGAGGGAAGGAAGGACGTGTGTGTGTGTGTGTGTGTGTGTGTGTGTGTGTGTGTGTGCGGTTTAAGGGCACGTATGTGGAGGCGAAAGCAAATTCTGACTCCCCTGACCCTGACGCAACACATGCTGAATTTCAAACGTGGCGTTCGTCAGCAGTCCAGGAAATACAATTAAGGGTCCAATCAATTCCCAGCCTGCAGGCCTGACGAACTTCAGGTAAACCTCTCCGTCTCTCTCACACACACACACACACACACACACACACAGAATACACACACACACACACACACACACACACAGAATACACACACACACACACACACGTCTACAGCTTTGATGTGACGGCAAGCCATGGAGGTGAACAAAATGATGCATCATCAGAACACACAGGGACAGTTAGAGGTGAAATGCTGTGTGTTGTCTGGAGCTGACTGGTTGACAAAACTACAGTTAACATATAAGAAACTTCCTCTCTTCTTCTTCTTCTTATTTACGGCTTAGCTGCCAAAAGTCACAATGACATCAAGACTTCAAACGAAGGAGTGTTTCATTCAAAACTAGATCTATTCATTGAAACTGCAGTGGCTTTACAGCGCGAGCCTTCAATGACACATTCCGTCACAGCCCGGAAAATGATCAAAGGACTCCAAACCTCCCACAAAAGCTGAAACTATGAGCTCAAAACTTACCCCATCTTGAGTTTCTCTCCATTTTTAGCATGACCGTTTCTCCGGAAAAAAGCCAGAAACACTGAGTAGAAGTCCCTGAGCTCCATATGGAGGGACATCTGAATGCACACCCAGCACTCTGCTTTCACAGCGCAATTAAGTGACCTAGACACTATTGCTGAAATGTGGGTCTCTAGGCTAAAATAGGCCATGCAGTCATCATATAAGCCTGAGTGCTTTTCGCTCAATGGACAGACAGTGTGGTGTGTCCCGTGGCCGGGTTACCGAGTCAGCCGCACAGCAGATCTCCTGTTCTCATTTTCTGCCTGCAGTGTCTCCAGTGTGTCATTATCCGACACCGGCTCTGTGCAAAGACAGTGATCTGGCAGGCAAAGACTTTCCCATATGTCCCATGTTAAGCCCTCTCCAAAGGAGGAGGGCCCCTGCTGGGAGGCGAGCAGGCCGGTAGTCTTGGATCAGATGGGGATCAGGGATGGACTTGCAGGGATGAAGCACGACTAAGGACAGGGATCCCCCTGTTTTGTCAGCCAGTGTGTGTGTGTGCATGCAGCCGTGGGGTTCCTCATTGGTGATTAAGAGGCTTTGGCTTCACTAAAATCAACACTCTCCGTGCAGGAAGAGCTAAGAAGGAGGCTGCATGCCAGGACACTCGCTGCACGATCAGAGATCTCTGCGTGCCATCTCAGATTTATAGCA